CTGTTTGAGTACACTTAGATAATTCTATCATCTTGATAGACCCTAGAGAGCTTTTTGCTTTCTGAAAAACTCCTCCTTACCTGTCTTATAAGGCTGGTCTTGTCTTCTTTGAAGATTCTGAAATAACTTCATCTGAGGAATTTACCTTCTCATAACTCACTGTTATCATTTCTTTATACCTCTAGACCAGCACCATCCAGTAGCAATATAATGTGAGCCACATATGTAATTTTAAATTTTCTAGTAGCCACATTAAAGATAGTAAAAAAAAATGGTTAAAATTAAATTTTAATAATATATCGTATTTAACTCAATATATTCAAAATACTATCATTTCAACATGTATCCAATATAAAAATTATTAATGTATTCTACATTCCTTTTTCATATGCAACATCAGTGTGTATTTTGCACTTAAAGTATATCTCAGTTTGAACTAGTCACATTTTAAATGTTCAATAGCCATAGGTGGCTAGTGACCTCTGTATTCTCCATATCAGACCAGGGTTTCTTAATATCATCACTATCGACATTTAGACTGAATAATTCTTTTTATGTGTGGGCTGTCCTGTGCATTGTAGGCTGTTTAGCAGCATCCTTGGCCTCTAACCACTAGATGCTGGTAGTATCCCCCCCCCACGCATACCTCCAGTTTTGACTCCAAAAAAGAATGTCAAGAACCACTGGTATAGATCTACAGAGTTGGTAGATGTTCCTACCCAGTATATTATGCCCCGGTATATTCCAGGGCATAAGTAAAAAGTCTGGCCTAGGAAAAAGCTTTCACACTAAAAAATAGGCAAGATTTTGCTTATTCATATTGGCAGAAACCTATGGAATATGATAATGAATTCAAGGGTGTTAGAACGGGCATGAAAGAATATAATTTTTGATGAGGCAAAAATCTTTAATATGGATATACTTATCAGAGGCCTTGGATTCATCATGCTTGCCTGAGCACCTGGGAGTTGTTCTAAAGGTTTTCTTAGTTGGTTGGTTGAAACCTGGACTCAGTGGTGGCCTGCACTAAATAAAGTTGAGATGCTAGAAATCTCTCGATACATTTTAGAGGATTGATTTAAAAGACTTAGGGAGATAGGATGCTTGGAATGGATTTATCATTCCAGTCACCTATTCATTAGGTCAGTTAATCATCATGACCCAGTCGCCTATCTCCAAATATGTCCTGAGAAGGCCCAGAAGACCTTCTCTTCACTAATGCACTGAGAAAATAGTGAGGAGAATGCCAAAATCCTTTGAAATTACTGTAGCTTCTGTCCTCTAAGCACAGGGATGAAATTAGGAGATTATGCCATTGAAAGGGATCCCCAGTTCCCTAGTGGACATAATAGGATCCAAAAGTGGCAGAGACCAAATGACTGCATTTAACCATCAGAGATGAGGTAGTGGTGGTTACCATAATGGACAGGAGCGCCAGAGTAGTAATCATAGTCATTTGACTAAGAGGGATCTTTTTTTTTTTTTTCCTGCGGTACGCGGGCATTTCACTGCTGTGGCCTCTCCCGCTGCGGAGCACAGGCTCCAGACGCGCAGCCTCAGCGGCCATGGCTCACGAGCCAAGCCGCTCTGCGGCATGTGGGATCCTCCTGGACCAGGGCACGAACCCGTGTCCCCTGCATCGGCAGGCGGACTCTCAACCACTGCGCCACTAGAGAAGCCCCTAAGAAGGATTTTTAACAGTGGATAATTGATCATGATATCCCTACAATGAAATGGACGGACAATCTGCTAGGATCCTAATTGATCTGTATAATGAAAAGTTGATAGATCTGATAGAGACCTAAACTTCATTACCTTAGTGGGGACCTACAATATCTTGTCATTGGCTTCTTAACTCATGGCTATTAAAATAGGACCACCAGTTGGTAGCCCCTAGAACTGTCTTTTCTACAGAAATAGTAAGCCAAAGCAATACCATATACCTGGGGAAATTCTAGTGATTAGTGCCACCATCAAAGACTCGAAAAATGCAGGGTGATGATTCTCAACACACTAGCATTTAACCTACCATTTGGCCTGTGTAGAAGATGAATGGGTCGCCTAAGATGAATTGGTCTACATCCAGATGCAGTCTTTTTATTAGGTGAATAAGCACAATTCTTAACACCTAACGTTCAGATATCACTCTAAAAAATGTCTTTTATTCATCCTAATATGCATGAAACAACTGAAGTCATTCACTTTCATTTGGAAGTGAGAGAATGGGGGAGAATTTATTGCTTTATGTAAGGGCTTTGTTAATTCTTTAGCTCCCTGTCATAATTTAGTGTGCAGGAACAGTGATGATTTCCTCAACTTATGGGACATCACTTTTGTCTACTACATTTATGATATTGTGCTGATAGGACCTAATGATCAGGAAGTAGCACATACCATAGATGCCTTGTGTAGTAAATTGTCTTTCCCATAGATTCTATGGACCTTGACACTGTCCCATTCAGAGGTGGAATGTTTTACTCTTTCCCTCAGATTTGGGCTGGCTCTCTATTTTATTTTAGATAACAAAATGCAGCATAAGTGATTCTGTGTAACTTCTGTGGCCATAGAGCTGCAGCTTCTGCATTTGTTGCTTGGAACACTTACTCTTGGGATGAAGCTGCCATGAAAAAAGCTCAGTTCGGTCACATGGAGAACCAATAGATAGAATGGAAGAGGTCCTGGCCTCCTGAGTGAACCCACCAAGTCACCAGACATAAATAAAACCATCTTGATTAGTCCAGCTTCAGCAGCAATCTGGTTTCAGCTTGGTGAGAGACCCCAGCTATTGCCACATGAACCAAAAAAACCACCCAGCTGAACCCTGCCTGAACTTCTGAAAGAAGTTCAGAACAAATAAAACAGTTTTTGTTTCAATCCACTAAGTTCGATAAAATAAGAAAAGGAAACCAAAATATACTGGAAAGAACACATGCAATTCAGAGTGGGAAAATGACAATTCAGGGTTCTGCTACCTTACTAAAATTTCTTGGGCCCAGTGGTCTGGGATATATTAGGTTACCCCCTCAATATTAAAGTTGTTTCAACTTGCATCCCCTTGGATCACGATGTTGGCTAGGGTCACTTATACAGCTGCATTCAGGGAACAAGGCTGTGCCTTGAAAGTCAACTGGCTCACAGGTCTACCACCTCAGGTGAGTGGCTCAAACAGCTGGGATCTGGATGGGTTTCCCTCTGCAGCAGGGTAATTGGATTTCTTATATAGTACCTGGTTTCCAAGAGAGGAAAGCAGAACCTGCTCGGTCTCTCAAGGCCTAGGTCTGGAACTGGTCTAGGATCACTTTCACTACATTCTATTGTTCAAATTCAAGAGGAGGGGAAACAGACTCCACTTGTGATTTGTGTGCAGGGATGAGAAGAATTGTTTGTATGCCATTTTGGAAACAGTTTATTACACCACCAAACTTTTTTAAATTGCTTTTTTATTTTGCTAAGTATTGCTATTCATCCTGTAACTTTTAACTTTTTATTTCATTGTTTGCAATTTTTACATTATAACATACATTTGTTGTCATGAAGAAGAAAAACACAATTTTCATGCAACACTGCATTGCTGCATCTTACATACAAATGTCCCACTAATGAGTTTAATGATTTCAGGCACTTGATATTTTAAATGCTTTATATCAGAAGTTTGCACACCATGTCCTGTGGGCCAAATCTATCCTATTTATTACTTATTTTTGTAAATAAAGTTTTACTGGAGCACAGGGACTTCCCTGGTGGCACAGTGGTCTTAACCACTGCCTGTTAATGCAGGGGACACGGGTTTGAGCCCCGGTCTGGGAAGATCCCACACACCATGGAGCAACTAAGTCCGTGTGCCACAATTATTGAGCCTGCGCTCTAGAGGCTGTGAGCCACAACTACTGAGGCAGCATGCCCTAAGTACTGAAGACCACACGCCTACAGCCCATGCTCCGCAACAAGAGAAGCCACTGCAATGAGAAGCCCACGCACTGCAACAGAGTAGCCCCCGCTCACGGCAACTAGAGAAAGCCCACACGCAGCAACGAAGACCCAGTGCAGCCAAAAATAAATAAATAAATTTATTTTAACAAAAAGTTGTATTGGAGCACAGCCAAGCCATGTATTTATGTATCCTCTATGGCATCTTTTAAGCAACAGTGGCAGAGTTAAGTATGACAGAGGCTGTATAAGCCACAGAATTTAAAACATTTAATGTGTGACCCTTTATAGAAAAAGTATGCTGGTCTCTGCTTTAAATTATGCAGAAATCCTTGGTGCAATGTTTCACAGGTGGTCAAGTGCTTAATGATATTTGGGGAAACTGGGGGTTTTGAATGCGCTGGAATGAACTGTTATTTTCCCATTTATGTAAAAATGGAATAAGGGGGGCTTCCCTGGTGGTGCAGTGGTTGCGAGTTTGCCTGCCGATGCAGGGGACATGGGTTCTTGCCCCGGTCCGGGAAGATCCCACATGCCGCCGAGCGGCTAGGCCCGTGAGCCATGGCCGCTGAGCCTGCACGTCCAGAGCCTGTGCTCCGCAACGGGAGAGGCCAGAGGCCCGTGTACCGCAAAAAAAACCCCAAAAACAAACAAAAAGAAAACAAAAAACAAAAAAAAAATGGAATAAGGGATCTTTCTATCCAGAAGTTCACTATCCAACAAGATTTTAGCAACAGATTAGATTTAGAGGATGAGGGATGCCATATTTACTTTACCTGGACAATTCAGTTAAATAAGTCAATTTGAGAATCTTATGTAATCATTTTGAGATTTTGTGAATGTTTCCTCTTGAATGTCTTACACAGGTGGTAACTTATAATACCAATGCAATTTAATTAAAATAAGTTTTTTCTTAACAGCAGCCTAACATCTGTGTACAATTATTTTTCTAATTATGGCAAGTTAGCAAGGTTAGCTAGAATCCTAGCTTAGTGCTAGAAAAATCCCAAGAATTATGTTCCTTGCCCCCAACTCTACCTGTCGTCTTCCTCTTTTCTTTTTTATTTTTGCAGATGAGAGGACTAGCCCAGAGAAGCTAGTTGACTTGCCGAAGGTTATGATCCATCAGTGAGAGAGTAGGTACGTATATCCGCAGTTCCCCGTGCTTATTAACATTTGCATATATGGAAGCTAATGTGTTGGGGAAGCTAATGTGTTTTTTCACACACACACACACACACACTGTATTTTATTTTTACAAGAGATAAATAAACTGGTTGGGGAACTTTTTGCTGGACAATCATAGCGCTGGGGGAGGGGGGGCGGGGGGGGGGGGAAGCATTGCTGGAATCATCAGTGGAAAATATTCTTTAGTGAAACCAATAAGACGTACGCCATGGTTAAACTGCTCAGTTGATAGTGGCTCTATTTGTGAACCTAATGTGATAGCCTACGATTTTGAACGTTAGGTTGAGGCATTAGATAACTTTTTTTTTTTTTTTACTTTTCCAAATAGAATCTGGCCTTTTCAGTTTATAAACCATACCAGCTGGCTGTAGCACAGATACAAATAATTTGTGACCTGAAAGATGCCTTCGAGATCACCGTCCGGTTCCCTCATTTAACAGGAGAAAATAGGCCCAGGAAATGATATCAGATAAACAGATTTTAGCTGTTTACATTTATAACGAGCTTTCTTCCAGTCGCGGTTGCCTTAGTTTTTTCAAATCTCCTCCTTTAAAAAGCAAAAGCAGGACACTTGCAGGCCAAGTGTCAGATAATTTGGAATCCATCAGCCTTACTTCCCTTTCTGGTTGAACTCAGTTAAGTTTTACTAACTACACACAAACGCTACCCTTCTCGGAAAACAAACGGTCGCCGGTCGGGGGAGTTCACTGGGAGAACCAACAGAAAGACAAAGCTGCTCTCCCGGGCTCCGCCCCCTCACTCCTGCCAATAGCAGCAGACGCCGGCGCTCGCTTTCCCGAGCTCGGCCAATTGGCTGCGCCGCTGCGAGCCCGACGGAAGGGGCGGGGCGGCCGTTGCCAGAGAAGCCATTTGCTGGTTACCAACTCGGCTTTGTTCCGCTTGCACCTTGTTGGGCGTTCTGCCACCGCGAGCCGCTCTAGGAGGTCGCCTGCTTCCCGCGTCGAGTTCTTACCTTCCTAGCTTTCACCCGCTGCACTGCCCCCCGCGTCCCGCTCCGTTCTAGCCGACCCAGGGCTGGAGAACACAGGTATGCTCACGGGCGGCTTACACTAACGTTCGCCGAGCATCAGCCTTGGCGGCCCTGGCGGACCCCTTTCACAGCGGAGCGGCGGCGGGCTGACGTCACGGCGACGTACTGACGCAGCGGTAGGGACGTCGGCGTGCTTTTGGAGGGGGAAGCAAGCTTCCTCGGCTTGCATGACCGAGGCTTAGTTACCGCGGGCAGCTCTGGGGGCGGGGCGGGCCAAGGTGGGTCACGGAAGTGAGAGGCCCTCGCGTCCACCCAAAACTGAGCTCAGCCGCTTTCTGCCTACACCATCCTCTCCCCGCAGACAGACAGCCTGGGCTTGGGAAAGGCAGCGAGGAAGTGTGTGGTCCCTGGGACAGCAGGGCAGATCTTAGCCGAGGTGGGCTTGTCCAGGACGGAGCCCTGACCCGGCCGGCCCCGGGCACTGCATCGTTGCTTACCGAAATAGTGCTCTCTTACGTATACGGCTGGTTTTTAAATGCCCACCATATAATGTGCCAGACTCTGGTAAGCTCCGGGGCTCCTTAAGTAAAGAATACTCCAGGCCTCGGGGAAATAATTCGTTCTCCAGGGTCCTAGAGTGCAGCCTCAATTCCTTTAAGTGTGTGGTTTGGGCAGGTCACTAACGTTACTGCCTTCAGCTTCCTTTTCTGTAAAATGAGGAGGATAAGTCACTTTAGAGTGGTTGTAATAAAAGAGATTAAGTTAACCAGTGCCAGGTTTTGAGTAGGTGGTCAGTAAGTGGTGCTTGTTTAGTGAGGAAACCATAGCCAGACTTTGGCTGGTGTTGGGATAAAGTCTATTGCAGAGACGAAGTTTCCCTATCATCTCACACATAGTAAGGTTTCAGGTGTTTTTGAATGAATGAGGTTCTTGGAGTAGTTTTAAGCACCACTTGGTTAGTTATGGTTAAAGGAATAGACTGCGGCAAGCCTGTCGGCTTTTAAAATGTGTTTGATACCTTTCTGCTTTAATAAGATTGTCACGGCAATGTTTGTCATGGCCCTTAACAGCCAGGTATCCATTTTTTTGCTTCTCATTTTCTTCTAATTTCACAATTGATGTGTATTAATAGGATAGTTTTTGCATCTCAAACACCCAGAGGTATGAGAAAATGGCTTTGTTTATATTGCTACTAATCACTGCTTAGTTTGTGCAAGTGACTGAGACCCAAGTATCTGGGTATAGCAATGAGGCTGACAGAACATCTATCCCCTTGGGCACAGTTCTGTTGGAAGTCAATAATTGTTCTCCTGGGCTCTGGTTTAATAGAACTCAGTCAGTTTTTGACTACATTGAAAATGACTTGTAATAATTCTGCAAAGAATAGATTTTGAAAGGATTGTTTTGAAGAGTTGGTTCTATACAGATAACTCAGGCCTGCAAGTAATTTCAGGAATGGTGAATGACTCAGGACGATTTTTTTTTTTTTTAAGATGAAAAAAATTAAGGAGAAGGCCTGGTGGGAAAGCAGCCCCAACAGAGTGACCAAAGGGGTCCTAAATTAAACAAACAAAACTCCCCACCTGTAAGTGTTTCTACTTCATTCTGTTCAAACCTCATGACAGCTTTGGCTGGCAAAGCTTATTCTCATTTTGTAGGAGAGAGAAACAAAGGGCTGTTGAAGCTAAGGGTTGTCTGTGTCAGGTGGCTCATAAGGACTGTGAACTGATGAATCTGGCCCAGTGTTCTTTCTTTTTAATATGCTGCCTCTGGGTCATCAGGAATGGTTAAATTATGTTCAGTCTATCTGTACTCTGAGAAGGAAGAAATAATACATACTTTTAAAAGATTTTCTTCAAACTGGTCTAAATTAATTTTTGTATTTAAAAGGATAAGTAATCATTTCCTGCAACTTAGATGTGGAGCAATCCATTCAGATGGTCATGGGTAAATGAGGGGTTACATTTGATCATTTCTTTCCATACTGATCTCTTGCTATTCCTGTATTCTAATTCCTTCATTGTTTTTCTTTTTTTTTTTTTTAAATCACCAGTGGCAACAACTTTTGATTTCTTCAAAAATTTTTGTTGGAAAAGAATATTGGAATTTCATCTCTCTTGGGACCCTAATAACCTGATCACTGCTTCTCCTCTCGTCTCCTCCATATGCCGAGTCCATTTTCCAAAACACCACTGTACTTACCTTTTATTTATTTTATTTTATTTTTTTTTTGCGGTACGCGGGCCTCTCAATGTTGCGGCCTCTCCCGTTGCGGAGCACAGGCTCCGGACGCGCAGGCTCAGCGGCCATGGCCCACGGACCCAGCCGCTCCGCGGCATGTGGGATCCTCCCGGACCGGGGCACGAACCCGCGTCCCCCGCATTGGCAGGCAGACTCTCCACCACTGCACCACCAGGGAAGCCCTGTACTTACCTTTTAAAGATGCACTTCTGATCTGTCATTCTCCTGCTTAAAATTATTTAATGGTCTGTCCTAACCTTTAGGAAAAAATTCAAGCTCTTGAGCTTGGTATACAGTGTCTACTTTCATGTGTCCAGTCTCATCTTTTGCCACGTGCCCTTTCAAATCATGTTCCGTCATGATTCCTTGTTCTTGCTGGTACTTTACCCTCTATCCGGAATGCCTGTTTTCTGTTCCCTTTTGCGAAGCTCAAACTTGTTCTGCTGGACTCTACTGAGGATCCTATCTCTGGGAAGTCTCCCAGGATCCTGCCAGTTGCTTTTGCGGTACCTGATGAGTCCCCGTCATAGTCTTTAGAACACTGGATTTTAGTGGTCTGCTCACTGCTCTCTCTTTAGACTTGTAGTCTGTGCCTTCAAGGAGCTCAATCTTGTTCATCCTTCATTTCCTTGTACAGAACAATTGTCTTTTTTTTTAATATAAACTGAATTTATAAGAGTGCTAAAACACTCTTATAAAAGGGAAGTTTGTATGTTACTTTCAGCTGTGTAGATTCTTATATTTATATTTCAGTACCTGATGGCTTTCATTCAAAACTGAGTTCCACCACTTTCTTACTTGTAATCTTGGTCAAGCTGTTTTCTAAAACTTGGTTTCTTCAATGAGTAGCCTTTAGATGATAATAGCAACAGTGTAGGTTTTTGGTCAGTGAACCTGACCTATGCCTCTCACTGATTAATTTTTGAGGGTAGATGGTGATGGGTATATTTGCCCTCACAGATTTAGTAGCAAGTTTAAAGAAGAACTAAAATATTACCATTTATGGAGCAATTAAATTCTAAACTGTATGATTCTGAGAATATTATTAGATGTTTAGGATTCTTGGTGGGCTGGATCAGTCAGAGGAACATTTTGAGAAGGAGGGAGGACTTGGGCCTTGAAAGTATGTATGTATCCTTTATTTACAAATCAGTCACTCTTCCTGTCAACTTTTTTCCCCCGTATTATCCAATCTGCAACGCTTTTACTTTTAAATTCCTTTATTCATTGGACAGAAGCATTAGCTAATTACTTTTCAAAGTTAATCTCTCTATATCAGAAAATGTTTTTTCCAGTTTTGATAGCCTTTACTGATAAGTTCAGTTTTCCACTTCTGGTTATTTTTACTCTGCCTACTTCCAAATTTCGTATACCTTATTTTTTTTCACAATGGAGTCCAAAAAGGCATACAGTTACTTCTCTAGTAAACTTTTGACTAGTGTTTAGTGTGGGAAATTAGCAACATTCCTGTATCTACTTGGTATTCTTTGCTGAATATTTCATAGTGAATTTTTCAGTATAAGCTGTGTGCTTTTGTTTGAAGCCAGTGGGAGCTAGTTTTCCAAGGATTAGTGTTTGGCAAAACAAATTGAAATCTGCAAGATTCATATGCTAGTCTCTTTAGAGAGATTAGTTTTGAATACATACTTGGAGCTGGTTAGTTTATGTAGAACAATCTAGGTGCTGCGGAAGGTCATGGACTGATCTTTCTTTTCTCTTACCATGGCCAGCATCATGGTCCCTGAACAGCCATCCCTCAAATGCTTGTTGCTGGCCAAAATGGAACATAGTTAAATGAGTGTAGCTGGATCAGCATAAACCCATGACCACACCTGGAAGAAGCTTTAAGTACATGCCTTTTGGGTAGGGGACTGATAAAGTCATTTCTGTATAGGAAATTTAATTCTTTAAACATTAAAAATATTTTAAATTGCTATTCTTTAGGGATTTGATCATTAAGTATGTGTGCAGAATATGTGTCTTTGTTTCACCACTAACAAGTTATACAAAAGTGTATTACGTTTGTAAATTGGCAGTTTATTCTACATAATTGAAAACATTTTCTTGTGAAATGTCTGCTTTTCCACTCAAGAATACATTTGGTCTCCCAAAATGATAGCATTTTTTATAAAGGCAGGATTTTTTTTGCTAAAGAAAATTATTACATTGTTCAGCACACATATGTTTTTGGTTAAAGTATTGTCACAACACAAAAATAGTGGAGTACCTTGGAACCTCTCAACAATATTTATCCTATATTCATTTCTAGATTGTGAGAATATGATAGTTGATAATTTCTATGCAAATATTTGAGACATACCCAGTTCTCTGTTTCACGTTTTGAGAAATCAGTAATGAAGATACATTTTAGAATGTTGGGCTAAAAGTCATTCTAAAAATCCCTATTTTTGTAATATGTTAGTTTTATTTGTTTACCCTTTAAGATAAGATACAATTACTTATGTTGTATGATTTTATCATGTGACAAAACTTATAGAAAAATTATATAAATAGCTGCCAATAGCCCACAAAGCCAAGCAAGAACTAAAGTACTGATACCAAACTGAATCTTACCTCATAAAATGTTTTCAATAAATTGAAGATCTCTACCCTCTTACACTGATTTGTGAACTTTTATTTTAAATATATGAACTATTTTTCTTTTAATGATCCCTGAAAAGATAAGTAAAAAAGCAGCAGTCTTTATTCATCTTATTCATTAATTGCCCTAAGCCTTGAGTCCTCTCCTTGAAATATTGCTTAGCTTTTACAAGGCTTATAGGTGCTGAGAATTCCAATAAATAAGACGTTCTTTTTTGAGATTCCATTGTACAGAGAGACGAATATTTAAACAAGTGAATGGACAAAAGATGAGTACCAAAACTGAACAAATCAGTAGATGATAATTTTCTTGATGGCAGTGACTTATCCAAGCATATTCTTCTTCACCTTTAGGTTTGGGTTTTCATTTGATTTTGTGTATCCATATGTTTTTAATTTTTCTGGGCTACCAATAGCTCAAAATGTTGTTATGTCCTAATAACAGATGCGTGTTTGCAGCATTCAGGTAGATCATCTTAGACTATATGTATCTTATTCAACATTTCCATTTTGACGTGAGTTTCTACTATTGAAAAAATATGAGGATGCTTTTCACTGGCCTGTATCCTAAATATTTATCTTTCTGGTATACAGAACCTTTGGACAAAAAAAATAGATAAATTTTTACAGACATTTGAAAGGATTTCTGGATTGCTAATTAAATATAGTGAATAATTTTCAACCTTTAATTTCACATCTACTTAAAGTATTGAAAATTCTTGAACATATGTATTTTATGATACAGATAAATAAAAATAAATTACAAAGAGGTAAAATATCTCTGAAAAAATGCAGAAAACCTTAAATATCACATTTGATTTTGTATAAACAAAGTTAGGGAGACACATTTCCATATATTAGATTTGAAAAACTACAGCCTTAATGATTGCCAAAGCACTAACTCATTACTTAAAATGGAATCATTTTGAAGAAATTCATAAATATTCACATTTTAAAAATGACATCTCCAAGTTTGAGAGAAAACAATGAGATTATTTAGTAAAACTTAGAAGTAATGTCATCTGTCCATCCATTATTAACAAAGAATAACTTAGATTGAGCTTTTTTAAAAAATATGATTTATTTATAGGAATAAATGAATTTAATATTGAAAAGTCTACTTTAAGAAAATAACTTCTTTGTAGCTATTGTTGCCAAATACTTTCAAAAGTATCTTAAATTTTTACTGTTACAGGCATGAATAACATACATTTCCTATTGGATAAATCTAATGCAACTGAGAATGATAGTTATTCTGTGGGTTTTATATCCATTTTCTAGTCCGATTGGATTAGGATATTATTATAATACTTCAAGAAATAGACTAATAGTAATTTCTACATTCTTGTGAGTATGTAGAAAATAGTGGGCCTTTTGGAAACTGTATGGAAGTTGGATGATTATGCTATGCAATTTTGATACTATTTTGAATTAGTATCACAATGAGTAGCAATTATAATTTCAAGTTTGTCTGTGAAATATTATTCTTTTACAGATCTTTAGGATTTTTATCTTATTGGGTAATAGCAGGAAAAAAGAATCTACTGAAATGACGTTTAATAATTAAAATATTTCCTAGATTTCAGCTTATGTGGAGAACTTGTTGTGGAAGCCACCTATAAATCCATTTACCGAATTTATGGAGAAGCCTATAAATGATGGAAGTCATTCAGAAGAACTCTTTTCCCATTTTAAAAGTATACCAGAGAAAGAACATTTACCACGGCATGCCAGTGAAAGTCATCTCAGCTGGTATTCTCAACAATAGCAGGGGATAGCTTAATTTTTTGATTTCAGGGTTTCATGTTTTGTCCATACTGTAAATTATTTGAATCAAATACAGCATTCTTTCAAGAATATCATCTAACAGCCTAGTAATTTATATTTATTTAATCTGATTACAGATGTACTCATTTAGCAGAATTTGCCTAGTTATTTTGGAATTTTAGTGAAAGCAATTAAAAATGAAAACCTTACTATAAAAAAATTTGTAAAGTATATATCTTTCTAACTAATGTAAATGAAAATGTAAATACTATGGAATATTGGAAATATAGTTAATGAGTACTACTTCACTGTCATTTGGGATATTGCTATCTAACAAATACCTGTCATATTTTGCTTCTTTAGTATGGAGAGTGCACTTGTTATTTGTATGACTCATTGCTCCCCAAAATAAGTCTTAAAATACCATGCTTGTTGCTGTGGATACTATAGTCCAACTTGTAGTTTAGCTTAAATGAAAATGATGTTTGGTCATATATAATCATTCTTGACTTTCTGTACATGGTTTTTAATAATGATAACTGTCTTTAGTAGCAACCATCTTCATTGGGCCCATCATTTTAAGACATCTTAAGTGGTGCTTAAGAATACAGTCTACTTCTTAGAGACATAGCCTCTAAGATGCCATTCATTGTTGCTGAGCCATTACATTATGTTCCATAAAAGAAAAAAGGTGTCAATTAAAGAAAGACACAGTGCTTTCTTATGGCTTGGAATTTTATTTATAAATATTGAAAAAACTCCTTCAAACTTATACATAGATTTTTAGTCCAAATAACTCTGCACTTATATAAAAATAAAATGTGAATGAAATAAAGTAGGTAAGGTATTCTCAAAACTTCTTTATACTCAAAGCCCAACTCTTATGAGTTACTTTTTGACTCAGAGTTATCCTTGCTATTAAGAGTATTGGTGATATGTGCTGGTATTTCTTAGGAGCATCTATAACTGAAATGAAATTTATTGGTGATGGGCTCTTACAATATACAGCAAGCCTACCTTGGGGTCTTGCTTCTAGAATGTTGCTAAACATTCCTACTTCAACAACTCCTCCAATCCCTCTCTATGACCCTTTGTTGTTACGGGTTAAAAAAGTGCTGTACCCCATCTCTGGGATCTTCTTCAAAACATTGGATGCTCATTCTGTAAGTTCTGGACCTGTACAGGAAAGACAGCTAAGGACTGCTTCCAGACTGACAGAGATTGTAAGAAGCATCCCAATTTCGGGATGTAAAAATGTGAGCCCCCATACCCGAAGATTTATCTTACAGTGATACACAGTAATGTCTGTGTAAAACGTAATCAAGAAAGCAAATATTATCAGTTTTGTTTTGAATGATAATAATGTTTTATAAAGCCAAATGTGAAGGATTTTTAGATATTTGGAGAGGTTTAGTTTTTTGTGTTCCATTTGTTTAGCTTACACATTTCTCTGGAGGAATTTTTTTTGTGAAAAACAATAGGTTTCAAGAAAGCATTTTGGAATAAGGTCTAGGAAGACAAATCTTTTGGCTTTGGAGTAAGGGAAGAAAAAAAGACACGAACACATTCACACAAATCATTTTACAAACAGGAGAAGAGATGTTCAATAATTATCAAATAGCACAGGGATAATTGCTGTTGGTAGTCTTTGTGTTTTACATATCTTAACATTTTAAAAACTGTCTTTCCATGTGTAGTTAAGTGTAGAAAAAATATGGAAGTACAGAAAAAATTCATTTTCAGTGAAAATTTACTGTTATATTTTGCAGAGCAATTTATGGAACTGTAGTATTTAATCATGCTTTGCATTAAAAGCATAACTAGTTTATGTAACAGCTTTAAATTAAATTTTATTTGTGCATATCTAATTAGCCTAAAGCAGGACATCCTATTTGAGAAGACCAAATTGGAAGCAACATTTAAGGAAGCCGAGTTAGCAACTTGTTCTGTAGAATTACTTTTGCCATTATTTAAGGACACCATTGAAGAGATTAGTTTTGAAAATGTGAGTACTTGCCTAGTGAATGTGTAATAAGATGAGAAGCTAGGATAATACTCAGAATTCATTAACTGAGGTCTCATATCTTGTAGTAGTTATGCTCACATACTGGTATTTGATATAAAAAATGCAGGTTTATTAGTGTTCTTCATTCCTGTGTCATTAATTGCAATTATTTTCCTCAAAGAGAATCTCAGGCATGTATTTGATGAGACGCTAAGCTAGAAAGTACCTTGGTGCTTGACTAGAAAGTACCTTGATGCTTGCCTTACCTGAGTTGAACTAGAGTCAACTTTTCTCAAGAGTGAATTTAAAATATTCTTCACTCTCACTCTTCACTTTCACTCTTGAGAAATGAAATATATTTTCTATAGTATTGTGTGGAATAGAAACCTCTATTCTAAAAGTTCAGTGTACTAAAGTTTGAGTTAAGGACAAAAAAAATAGATTGTATTCTGTTAGTTTTATTAAAATGAATGCCTGAAATACTTTAGGGTTTAAGCCCTTATTTTGATTTCATTTTACTTTAGAGCCATGTAACATATACTATTTACTGCTGAAAAACCTGGCATATCTTACTACTTCTATGTGCAAAAGAATGATTTTATTACTAGGAAAAGTATTCTTTGATAATAGTAGTATTATATTTTAGAGTGTCTTAATGCTATGTCTTAAAATGTGTATGTGCTTCTTATATTTTGTCAGACTGATCTTTCTGCATCCAATTTGAAGATTTCTAAACAGAAGGAAATATTAAGAAAAGAATTAGACTCCTTTAAACATTTAAAACAAACTTTGGAACATCTTCTTAGAAAGACAGAACACCAACAGGTAAGAAATACTAAGCACTATTTTAATAGTGATATTTCTCGCTTGAAGGGTATATTATTTCTTGAAATTAAAATATTGGTATATTTGAAATGGAAATGATTCTTGAATTTTTGTTTGAAATGGCAATCATTAACCCCCACTTTCAATGTTTCATAAATAGTTTTACATGAAAGCAGCATATTTTTATAGAAAATATATTTTTATTTTCAATCTCAAAAACTTTCATTATTTGTTATACTTCATTTCAATTGATTACAATAAAATACTCTTAGAATTTAAGCCGTGTGTACATTGTATTTATGCATTCATATATTCCTTTTTTAACAGTTTCACTGAGATATAATTCACATACCATACAGTTCACCGGTTTAAAGTATGCAATTCAGTGATTTTTAGTATATTCACAGAATTGTGTAGCCATCACCACTATCAACCTTAGAGCATTTTCATCACTACAAAAAGAAACCCATTGCCCTTTAGAATTTTACTTCCCATCCCCACTACCCCTCTTTAGCCCATTATCTACTTTTTCCTCTATGGATTTGCTGATTTCAGATATTTCATATAAATGAAGTCATACAGTATGTATGACCCTCAAAATGAATAAACATTTTTCGTTCTTATTTAAAATATCTACATGGAATTCTGTTATTGATTTGCTGTAATTTAAAAAAATTTTTTTATTTTATTTATTTATTTTTGGCTGTGTTGGGTCTTCGTTTCTGTGCGAGGGCTTTCTCTAGTTGCTGCAAGCGGGGGCCACTCCTCATCGCGGTGCGCGGGCCTCTCACTGTCGTGGCCTCTCTTGTTGCGGAGCACAGGCTCCAGATGCGCAGGCTCAGTAGTTGTGGCTCACGGGCCTAGTTGCTCCGCGGCATGTGGGATCTTCCCAGACCAGGGCTCGAACCCGTGTCCCCTGCATTGGCAGGCAGATTCTCAACCACTGCGCCACCAGGGAAGCCCCCTGCTGTAATTCTTTAAAACATTTCTTTTTGCTAGACTTTAGGCTGTTTATAATTTTTACCTGTTTACAATCAGCATTGTGAGCCTCCTTTGTATACAAGATTTTTATTTCATTGGCTTGTACTTTATGAGGCATTATTTAGAAATTAATTTAGTAAATTAACTGATTTCATAAATTATGGATTAAAAATTGATTTGGAACACTTAAGCAAAAATCTTTCTGATGGTTAACTTTTAAAAAAACTGAACTATGCATAGTAGTTGTCCATATTAATTTCTTAAGTGATGCTTATTCCATTTTCTACTTTTTTATGTAGAGAAATATAGTTTGTGAACACTGATTTACAACTTCTTTTTTCCACAGAGAGGGGACAGTTTATCCAACTTGTTAGAGAAGCTAGCTGATAATGAAAGTGAAAACACTGTAAGTCTTTTTAGACTTGGTGTCTATTTTTCTGAAATTTTTTGTTTGTATGCTGGTTGGTTTTATAAAATTAGCCAACATTATCCAAGTTGTGATATTTCTAACTTTTACATTGTATTTGCTGAAGACTCTTAAGACGAAGGTACTTGAAAAGGAGACCTATATCCAAGAACTTTCTTGTTTGTTTCAGAATGAAAAGGTAAGCAAATTTTGAGCTAATTCATCAAATTTTCTTAATATTGACTCCCTCTTTCTCTTCTTTCCATCCTGGCCCCCATATCCTCATAAATACATATAGAAATATTTTTAGATTATTTGGACATTTTTACAAGTTTATGCATCAAATATAATATCTTAATTTTTTAGAGTTTTTTTTTTCTTTTTAGATTTTTGTGGTATTTCATTCAGGGTACTTGGCCTAAGTCAGGGACCTATGTATAAATATATATTTCAATTTTAGTATAAATTAAGGAATTTCTGTGTTTGTAGGAGCATTTTAGACATACCCATAATTTTACTTAGAAGGATAGACAGGAACTTTTAAAAAGAGATAATTAGGAGTTATTAAATTAAAAAGGGGAGGAGAAAACATCCCCCTGGTTTTATATAAAGTCCATTTGTAATTGGGGAAGTGTTGTACTTTGCTCTTTAGCAACTTTTTAGATCATGTCTAAGTACGGTAAAGTTTAATATTGTGAAAAAATACATCAAATAACACATTTTTGCTTTGTTTTGTTTTCTCTTATAGGCAAATGCTTTGAAAGCAAGCCGTTTGTCACAATCAGTAAAAGTAGTACATGAACGACTACAGTTCCAAATTCATAAAAAGGAAGCAGAGAATGATAAATTAAAAGAACACATAAAGGTTATAAATATTCACCCATTTTTATAGTTTAATTGATAAAACTAATGGACAACAATAAAGTCTTTGCTTAATTCTGGAATTTAGTGGTTTTGAAAGAATTCAATTTAAGTGTTGCCATGGGAAGTACATATTTGAGGTAAATCTTAAGATTTCTGGTCTGTCTAAAGATTTGGCTCCAAATACCAATATAAAAAAAAGAAAAATGCTGTGACTTTTTAGTACCAATCTGGGAAGGATTTATAAAGTTTGAATTACTTTAAAAATCTCTCCTATTATCAGTTAATTTATATTAACTTGGAAAATTAATTTGGAAAATTTGTTAAATATAAAAGAGAAAATTAAAATACTGAAACCATTAATATTTGGTATATAGTATTTAGTCTTTTATGCATCTATACATATACATACATACTCTCACCCATATTTAGTAAGCAGACAATATACTAATGGTAATAACGTTAAGATCAGTTAACCTTGCCTTGGTGTTTAGATAATTGAGTAACCTCCTTGTTACACAGTTTAGCAGGATAATTAAGAGGAATTTTCTGGTTTAAACTGAGCAGTTTAAATATTCTTGTGGAAGTCTCACAGTCACTTTGAGATGAGAGTTTGAGGTTGCTGTGGCATGACACAAGCTAACTGGATCTACTGTCGTTATTTTTGTCAACGGAAAAGAAGCAGTGTTCTCGCTTTTGGAAGAAGTGTGTTCTCGCTTTTGGAAGAAGTGTGTAAAGACAAACCTCACTGAGCGTGAGGACTTCTGTGTTAAATTTCTGTTTGCTTTTATCCTCCTGAATCATGGCAGATGTCTGCAGTCCAGGCACATGTTTCAAGACTGCATATGGGGGGTTGTTTATTTTTTCTTCAATGGCAAAAAGCTTTTGCCCATCAAAGGGACATTAAGCAGGCTTATGTGGGATATAAATTTTGTCTTTTGTCTGCCTACAGGTGCTTTTAAGCACTTTCCCCCAAAGATTCCCTGTGTTTTTTGCATCGGTGTCCTAGGGCACTGCAGATGAACTAGAGTTGAAATTGTCTTGCTCTGTCATGGTAAATACAAGAGAATACATGTAATTTAACATCTCAGATCATATACTTCAGTTTATCTTACTTACACAATTTTTAATTTTGTCCTCAAATAGAAGTTGGGGAAGTTCTTGAAAATACTTTCTTCAGTTTAAAAATAAAATATTTAAATAACTTTTTAAAGTTAAGTTTAACAGTTCCTTTGAAATCCTAAGTTTTGCCATGATATTCACCAGTCTAATACTTTGAGTTCACATCCCCTTACAAAATGCTACTGTTTAGAAATGATTAGAAGAAGTTGCGTTAGGTCATGGATTTTTTTACATTCCTTCTAACACACAGTTTTGGAATTTATTTAGGTTTAACAAGTTTTTTCTTTTTCTTTACGACTACAAACACAATGAACGAACTCAGTTTAGCAATATAAATTTCATTCTTTTAGTATTGTTGATGACTCAAAAATTGTATTGGGTCTTTTAAAATTTTTAATTACATTATAATTCTCTGAGAACTACCCCAAAGGTACTTTGAACTCATTTTTCTTCCTAGATCTTTAAACTATAGTAATTAGAGTTAGAATATTTTCACATTTTAGAAGAGACAGAGAATAATTATCTTTATAATATGCTGCAAATATAATTCTTAGGAAATAGGAAAAAGCAAATAGTTGACTCTAAATATACGTCCATTCGTTTGGCAAATGACTGTGAAGGGGTTATTTTGAAACTATAAAAATAATTTGATAGTTTCAGCACACTTCCTAATAGTGTTCAGGCATGGGATTTGATAAATCTAGTGGGAAAGTCTTTACTGGAACCTTGTTCAAAAAATTTTATTTCACCTTTAGTGATAAAGGTTTTTCAACTGAAAGCGTAGCTGTTATTCATGATGTGATGATGACACCCTGCGGTTTTTTAGAGGAATGACAGCTGTATTTCTTGGGTTGGTGGAGAGGGTTCTTCGCTTCTCTTAAGTACTTTTTATACTTATTTAAAATGTTTTCCCCAACTACGTATTAAAACGTTTCGTGGGATTTTTTAGTTTAGATAGATTTTTAAAGACAATTTAGGAATGTTTTGCTTCTTCTCTTAGTCTACCAAGTTACTTTTCAAAGAGATCAAGTCTTTAGATCTTGTTTAAGATGTACTTCTTTTTTTTTAATTTAATTTTTTTAACATCTTTATTGGAGTATAGTTGCTTTACAATGCTGTGTTAGTTTCTGCTTTATAACAAAGTGAATCAGCTATACATATACATGTATCCCCATATCTCCTCCCTCTTGCGTCTCCCTCCCACCCTCCCTATCCCACCCCTCTAGGTGGTCACAAAGCACTGAGCTGATCTCCCTGTGCTATGCGGCTGCTTCCCACTTGCTGTTTTACATTTGGTAGTGATATATGTCCATGCCACTCTCTCACTTCGTCCCAGCTTACCCTTCTCCCGCCCCATGTCCTCAAGTCCATTCTCTACATCTGCATCTTTATTCCTGCCCTGCCCCTAGGTTCTTCAGAACCTTTTTTTTAGATTCCATGTATATGTGTTAGCATATGGTATTTGTTTTTCTCTTTCTGACTTACTTCACTCTGTAGGACAGACTCTAGGTCCATCCACCTCACTACAAATAACTCAGTTTTGTTTCTTTTTATGGTTGAGTAATATTCCATTGTATATATGTGCCACATCTTCTTTATCCATTCATCGGTCGATGGACGCTTAGGTTGCTTCCATGTCCTGGCTATTGTAAATAGTGCTGCAGTGAACATTGGGGTACATGTATCTTTTCGAATTATGGTGTTCGCAGGGCATATGCCCAGTAGTGGGATTGCTGGGTCATATGGTAGTTCTATTTTTAGTTTTTTACGGAATCTTCATACTGTTCCCCATAGTGGATGTATCAATTTACATTCCCACCAACAGTGCAAGAGGGTTCCCTTTTCTCCACACCCTCTCCAGCATTTATTGTTTGTAGATTTTTTTTTTTTTTTTTGCGGTATGCGGGCCTCTCACTGTTGTGGCCTCTCCCGTTGCGGAGCACAGGCTCCAGACGCGCAGACTCAGCGGCCATGGCTCACGGGCCCAGCCGCTCAGCAGCATGTGGGATCTTCCTGGATTGGGGCACGAATCCGTGTGCCCTGCATCGGCAGGCAGACGCTCAACCACTGCGCCACCAGGGAAGCCCTATTGTTTGTAGATTTTTTGATGATGGCCATTCTGACTGGTGTGAGATGATACTTCATTGTAGTTTTGATTTGCATGTACTTCTTAATCTCAATTTTAGTGGAAATTAAGCATACTTTTTGTTGATCAAAAAGTAGAAAAACTCCGTCTTTTACTATGAGTCCTTTAATTTTTTTTATTAAAATGTCCAAGGAATGGAAGACTAAAACTTAAATTCTGTAATAATTTTACATTCTTTTCAGAATTACACAACTTTCAAAAAATGTTAAGGCATTAAAATCTTAAGTCTTTAAATTCTTAGATAGTACTCAAATACTTTTAAATAGAAAGTCTTAAGATAATTTGAAGTGAAAACATGAGAGTTATCACACTAAATCATATCCATCTTTCACCCAACCTAATGTTCTGTGTCTAGTTATAGCCTCAAGAAATACATAAGGAAACAGTTATGTCAATTAACACTATCAAATTCAATGGATAGAAACATGCCGTCAAACATCTTTTTACCCTTTTTTTAATCCTAACTTTTTTATCCCAACTCTTATTGAACCCTGTGTAGTTTTAGAATAATAACTTCCACAAACTTACTACTTATTAGGCAAAGTAGTACTTTTATTCTCCTTGATGTAACTCTTTCAAATGTCAAAGCGTGCTCCTTAATTCTAGTAAATTAAAATTTGGTACATAAGTTTATGTTTATCTCATCTATACTCTTCATGATCTATAGATTTTGATCATATATCCTTTAAGCATTTATTATTTTAACTAAAGAGTCCTAATATATTTGGGGAGCTACTGATTCCTTTGAGCTTTTTGTACCTGTTGTTTGAATTGTCTCCAGCTAAATTATGTTTTTCGATTTGCAGTAACTAATACTATGTATAATCTAGATGGGAAATTTTTTAAAATTCTAGTTAATCAAAAAAGTTTTAAGGAAATTAGTGTTTTTACTATAATCACCAATATTAGTATCTTTAGTAAGAGTAGTATTAGTTTTATATAGGTTTATACATTTTAAATTTGCATTCTATAACTGGTTACAAATAAACATTGGTGAAATCACCTTTCTTCACTGTTTTGCTTTTTATTAATCTTATGATTAATCCTTTTGATAAATTCTGTGTGGAAGATTTTACATATTTTCACAATGTTTATGTAAACGTTGGCATTCTAAAATAATTTAATTACTGCTAATGTTTTTTTAGATCTTAGAAACCAAAATATCAGAATGGAACTTGCAATTGAAAAAGAGTACGCATGAGGCTGTAACGATGAAAGAATCAAGTAGGCAAAAAGCTATAGCTCTAAAAAAGGCATCTAAAATTTACAAACAAAGGATTAAACATTTTACTGGAGACGTGGAAAACCTTACTTCCCAAATTAGAGAGCAGGTAAGTTATATACATTCTTCCTTAAGGAATTGTTTTATGTACTTAGTTTATGTAGTTAACCTCATAATGCTTAATATAATAATTTTGTTAGAAAAACTTTACTCATACATTTTTGCTTTAGCCTTTATTTTGAAAGATTACGTAAAATGACAGATTTGCATATTGAATTATATCAGCATTTCCTTGGGGCTTTATTTAAAGGATATGTTAAGTCCCAAAGCATCTGTGGTCAACTAAGGGTAACACCACTTCAGTGCTAATAGCATATTAACATTGAATTAAAGCACATTAACATAATATTAAAGGCTCTGAGAAGGCCTTCAGAAAAAATAAAGCAGTGCCAAGGAGGGTATTGAATTCAGAATTTTCCACCACTTATTTAACCACAGAACTCTTGTTCTACCCACAAAGCAACCCTTGGAACTGGTTCTGAGGAATACCAGATTGGAAAATGCTGATTTATGTTATTAGACCGCATGACTTTATTCAGTAATTCACTTCACTTAAACTCCGTAATGCATTTAAAACCATTTGCTGACATAAACCCACCATGTGAAAGTTATCTTTGGGTGTATTAACAAAGTTGAAAAATGGACTTAGCGTTTTGTTGTTTTTGATGAATTATATTTATTCAATTACCAGTTAATAAAATATTTACTCTTTTTAATGTCTCACTGGTATCCTACCTCTTAAGAACTTACACTATGGATTGTAGAATTATCAGAGGCTTTTAGAAATGAAAACAGACATGCATAAATGCTTGTATAAACAAAACAACCTAATATTTTATAAGCTCAACTGTTAACATTTTAAAACTCTTAATATTTAAACTACATTCAGAAGAATTTAATTAGATGAAAGAATTGAGCATTAAGTGCAAAATCTATAAGGCTGTAGGCCTAGTTGAATGCCTGAAAATATTCTTGAGTGGTAAAAACTAATTGAGTCATTAACATTCTTGGGATTTTCCTGTTTAACTAGCACCATGTCACCCATGCCCCAGATCGTAGTATAGGAAGACTTCTCCATTTGTTAACCTTGTGACTTTGGGTAAGCTTCTTAACCTCTCTAAGCTTCAGTTTCCTTATTGACAAAATAGGGGATAATAATACTGCCTGTCTCATATGATTGTAAGGAGGAATAAAGGAGAAAATATATGTCAAAGCACAGTGCCTGGCCAGACTACATTTTTGCCATATTGGCCTCCTTTCTATTCCTCTAATGCATGGAGTGTGTTTGCTTCATTGTTTTGTGCTGTTGCCTGTGGCTGTAATGTTCTTCTCAGGCTCAATAATAGCTGATTCTTTTAAAAATCATTCTGGTATCTTTTTACTTGACATCTCTTCAGAGGGGCCTTCCTTGACTACTCCTTTAGAAGTAGTCCCACAACAATTAATTGCATCAGGGTCTTAAATTTTCTTCTTAGCCCTTATTTTATAGGTAAAATTTGTAAATATCTTAATTTATATTCTAATATAATTGCCCAACTTACACTTTATAATGCATCTTAATATTCATTTACATACAATATAAAAATAGAAAACTAGTCTTTTGTCAATATATTAAAAATATTGCTTTAAAAAATATAAACAAATGTCTTGCACATAATAAATGCTGAATAAATACTTGTTCAGTGAGTGCATAAATGATGGAAGGAAAGAAGGAAGCACCCAATAAATGTTAACTGTTCATATCACTACTTCTGAGTCTTCTGATTAATAATTATTGGCACTGTTGTCATTCTAGTGAATTTGTTTTTCTGTAGACTGTAGAGAAGGGGTACAATGGTTACAGATCTCTAGGTGGATTTGTAAAGAGTAGATTCATTTGACAGTTATTTATTGAGAATCTGCTTTATGCCAGGCACTGTTCAAGACCCTAGTAATGAACAAAACAGACAAAAATTTCTACCCCTGGTAGCTCACATTCAGAGTGGGTAACCAACCACTACCACTCTTACTTTCTTGCTGACAGTACTAGTGTTTGAAAGCCAATGGGGTGACTCTACAAAACAGCTTGGCATAGAACTACCATATGACCCAGCAATTTCATTCCTGGATATTTATCCGAAAAAAACTGAAAACACTAATTCAGAAAGATATATGCACCCTAATGTTCATAGCAGCATTATTTATAATTACCAAGATATGGAAGCAACCTAAGTGTCCATCAACAGATGAATGGATAGAGAAGATGTGGTGTGTGTGTGTGTGTGTGTATACACATACACACACACACACACACACACACACACACACACACGGGTGACTATTACTCAGCTATAAAAAAAAATGAAGTTTTGCCATTTGCAACAACATGGATAGACTTGGAGGGTATTATGCTACATGAAATAAGTCAGACAGAAAGACAAATAAGAGTTCAGTAAATATAAAAGGAATTACCTTCAGTAATTACGAAACATTTTTTGAAAATAGTTCCATCAACATCCTTAATATGTTAAGTTGGAACTGCCACTATGTGCATATAAAGTAATAGTATTATCAAGTCATTATTAAAATTTACTTTAAAGTTTTCCTGTGTTCAGATTTGTACGCTGAAATTTTCTGTAACAGAAGTTCCATACTTTATAGGATGAGTGTTTCCTTGTTTATAATGTATTTATTTTTAGGACCCTGGACAAAACCAGTGTTATGAAATTACAAGATGAGTACTTTATGTATGTTTTAGGAAGCCAAGTTGTCTGAAACAGTTTCAGCTTCCAACGTCTGGAAAAGTCATTATGAGAAAATTGTAATAGAAAAAACTGAATTGGAAGTTCAGATTGAAACAATGAAAAAGTAAGAAAAAAAATTTAGAGCCTTTTTACTGTTTCATAAGAAGTGTTTTCTGTTCTTTCCAACTTGAGTAATTTGTACTTTGGTTCTTATGGATTACATGTGGTAAAGCTGTTTTCTATATGATTGGCTATTTTTGCTATTTATAATTTATAAACTTTCCTTAGTCTACTTTAAAAATGCAATAAAAAGGATTACCCATTAAAACTGCATTGGTGTTCACAAATTATTGTTCCTTAAAGTGTCTTACATGCATAACAAAGAAAAATCAAAAATTCACATATTTTATAAATATATGTATTTACATATATTTATATATGTAGTATAATATATTTTTTTATAGATAAGCAGATTTTAAAAAATGTTTTTAACAACAACATCAGCAACAACAGCAAGTTTTTAAATTAATTTATTTTATTTTATTTTTTTGGTTGCACCGGGTCTTAGTTGTGGTGGGTGGGCCTTTTAGTTGCAGCATGCACGTGGGATCTAGTTCCCTGACCAGGGATCGACCCTGGGCTTCCTGCATTGGGAGCATGGAGTCTTAACCACTGCGCCACCAGGGAAGTAAAAATACATATATTCTATACTTTGTAATTTATTATTAAGCTAACAATAACTATATATTTGTTTTTGAATGTTTTACTTTCTGTATATTTTCTTCAGTTTTATCATTGAAAACTAGTGTATATGATTTGCTTCTAAAGATTATTTATTGCCTCACTTGATCCTTTTATTTAACCTTTTCCCTGAAATTGTGTGTATGTGTGTGCACATGTATGAATGATAGAAAGAGAGACCTACCTGTGGATCATAGTTTAGATGTTCTACTGACTAGCAAAGAGAATGTTGTGTAATTTTTCATTGGCGTCATCAATGGATAATTATTTCTAATCAGTTACTCAGTAGTAGTAACCTTATATGTAGATTACGGCTTCCTATTTCATTTGCAGTATGAGTTCTAGTAACTTTTGAAACTACCCTACAAAAATAATTTCAGAAACACACTGTTTGAATGAAAATTTCTATGACTTTTATAAAGGCAAATTATTAATCTTTTGGAAGACCTGAAGAAAATGGAAGACCATGGAAAAAATTCACGCGAAGAAATTCTTAGAAAACTTCACTCAATTGAATATGAAAATGAAACTCTGAATCTTGAGAATACAAAATTAAAGGTACTATGTGTATGTGTGTATGTATATATGTATAGTATAATGACAACTTAGTCTACTTAGTAGAAGTAACTTGAAATAACAGCAGGTTTAGAGTAGTGCTCTTGTATCATTTTTTTCCTTTATGTTTCTCAGAGTTTTAGAGTATCATTATAAGAAACTTCTAAAACTATATCTATATATCTGTATGTACACATATATGCACACATACTTATATAGAGATATTTAGCTGTTTATAGTTGTATATACAAATACATGTAAAGGTTGTTTTCAGCAGTACTAAGATTTATGAAGTTGAATAACTGTCTCTTTGTCTCAACCTAAAAAAGTTTATTTACTCTCCAATTTTAGCAGTTAGGCGAATCATCCAAAATTACATTAACTTTAATGCATAAGATTATTTCTAGGTGTCACGGTTACAATAGGATATAGCCTCAGGCATGGTCCGTTTGAAACCAGAAAGTATGTTCTTGGCTGCTTCATAACCGGAAAGAATTTTCCAACTTAGTCAAATCCAAGGGATGATTGGTTTTTATGTGTACCCAGAGTAAAGATGGGGAAGAAGCTTTTATATATTCTGAGGAAAAGGGTATTTGAGTTCCTAGTCATAGATACATGTAACCTGATGAGACTTGACTAAAGATGATGGCGGCATTTTCAGTTCCTTAATACTGTTTTTGGAGGACAGTAAATAGAAGACAGAAAAGAATCTGTTTATGGAAAAGAAGGCCAGAATTGGCAGTTCAAAACCAGATACGGCATCAGAGAACCTAGCTACTTTTTAGCTCTCTACTCTGCCATTCAAATAGCTGATGGGGCTCCATCCATTATAGCCAAGATTCAAATAACAGGATGGAAGGAAACAAAAGAAGAATTATCTCCCCCTTTTTCCCCATCTCCTCCTCTTTAGAGAGACTTCCTGAAAGTTCCATACCAGTCGACTCTTTTCCTTATTTAGGTATATGGCCCCACCTAGTTACAGGGGAGACTAGAGAATGTAGCCTTCTAGTTATCCTGAACTCTAGCCAAATACGAATACTCCTTATTTCCTGCAGCTTGTTTATGTTTTCCTCTATTCCTGTAGTTTTACTGTTCTTACAGTTTGGAATGCGTTTTTTCTCAGTATATAAATCCTACCTTTCCTTTAAAGTTCAGTTTAAATGCTGCTTCCTCCCAAAGTCTTCTCAATTAGGATGAATCTTTCCTCATAAACTCCCATCTTTGTATGCACAGGATAATCAGGGGAGGTGTGACATATAGTTAGCTCTTATTCAATATTTATTGAATTAATTCTTTAAATATTTTATTCTAGAAGAGGAAGCAATTTTATTTATTACGTTTATTTTCTTAATTTCCTTGGTATCCTTCAGAGAGGGGATTAGAAGGATATTTCATTAATTTTAAGTCTGGTTTTTAATTACATGGTAATGGAATTAATTTTAAATTACATATAAAAATCATTGAGTTAAAGTTTACATATTATATTCTATAAATAATTCAAAAACATGTATTTTTAACTCTCTGAATTTTGTTTAAGGAAAAACATCTAGGTATATTTGGCATATGTTATGTACAATGTAAAATTGTCTAGATGTTGTATTTCGTTACTTTCAATTATTTTAGATTTTAGTTTCAAATGAAGAAGATACTAGCTGATACTGTTTCTAGGGCCCCAGTGACCTCCTCTATTAAAAACAACAAAAGTTATTTGGAAGGTTACAAAGTTCTATTTGTTCATTATAGAAAGTTTGAAAAACAGAAAAGCACAAAAGGAAAAATTTAAAAATCACCTATAATCTCACAACTGAAAGATAAGTAAAGTTACTCTTTTAGCATATATATATAATTTGGGGGATTTTGGACTACTTCCAGTTTTGGTTTTTGTTTTTTTGTGCTATTATAATATAAATAAAAATGTGGATACGTTTAGTCTTTTTGCATGTATATTTTCTTAGGATAAATTTCTGCAAGTGGAATTATATGGTCAAACGGAAGACCCATTCTTAATGTTAGTTTTATATATTTCCAGGTCACCCATCGTAAATGGGTCCCTATACTTTTTCCCGTACTAGGCAATTTTAAAACAAATCTCTCCAAATTTGATAAGTGATCTTATCTAGTTTTGGGGATTTAAATACCATCTATATCCTGGGGGCTCTCAAATTTATATCTCTAGCCTAGACCTTGCCGCTGAATTCCAGACATGTATTCTACTGCTTACTTGAAATCTCCACTTGGGTATTTCATAGGTGTCTCAAAGTTATCATGTCCAAAATAGAGTTCCTATATTCCCCAATATGGTTCATCCTACAGTTTTCCTTGTCTCAGTTAATGGCAGTCATCCTTTCTGTTACTTGACTCCTTTCTTTCACACCTGCTTCCAGTCTGTCAGCAGATCTACTTCAAATATATCCAGAATTTGACCACTTCTCACCAGCATCACTGTCATCCTGGTTCAAGCCACCATCATGCCTCGTTGTTATAGTGACTTCCTCCTACCTCTTCTCTTTGCTTCTGCCCTTGCCCCTGCCGTCAGCATTCAGTGTAGCAGTAAAGTAGTTCCTATAAAAATGTAAGTCAGACCATGTCACTGCTCTGCTCAAAACCCTTCAGTGATACCTTGATTAATAGAGTAAATATCTACAAGGCATTATACTATCTGGCTTTCCATTACCTCTCTGACCTCATATCCTTCCACGCTTCCCTTTGTTTTCTTGCTTTCTGCCACATTGGCCTTCTTGCTTTTTCCCCTGACTGGCCAGGCTTTCTCCCACCATTGCCTTTCTCTACAGGAATCCTCTTCCCTCAAAGAGCCATACTTCCTTTTGGTGTTTACTCCAAAGTCCCTTTCTCAGGAGGCCTCCCTGGCCCATTCCCAACTTGTCCTTACTGTCTTGCTTTTGTGTATGATATATTTTACTTCTTGTTTTTTGTCTATATACCCCTTATTTGTGTCTATCTATACATGGAGTACATTAAGCTCACAATGGAAGGGATTTTTGCTTCTTATGTTCACTACTAGAAGACTATCCATTGCCTAGAGCATTTTTTAATAACTAGTAAGTATAATTTTTCATGTATTTGTTGATCATTTACATTTCTGCCTTTTGGAATTACCTACTCATTATCCTTTACATGTCTTTTTTCCTAATTATTATATAAGACCTCTCTCTGTATTAATCTTTTGTCATAATCTTTTACTTTTTTCACATTTTGTTAGGCTCTTTAGTTTTTTGAGGGGCTATGAAATTTTGGAGATATATGTACATGTACATATGCATGTATATATATGCATGTGTGTGTTTGTATGTGTGTGTGTATATTATATCTTTTTTTCCTTTTCGGCTTCTGTTGGGAGTCTCACATTTCTGCACATCTGACTGCCTGTGATCCAGATACAGACTGTCTTTTCAAGGATGTTTGTATAGTGAACATCCTTGGAAGATAACAATGTTTCCTTCTACCAAAAGGCATGCTTACTGCCTGTTATAAGAGATTTGGGTTCCCTAAACTCAGAGTTGCTTCTGTATACAACCCACCGCATGTACACGTGTCATCTGGCCCTCTTGGTGTTGCTCTGCGGGAAGTGGGGCTTTGGAAATGAACACAAATGCTAATATCTGGCTACTGCTATTGCTTTGAGTAATAAAGAAATTAAGACTCTGACCCAGGAGTCTTGTGTCTTCTGCTAGCATGCATGAAACTGTGCTAGGCTAACTGGTAAACTTGGAGGATAAAATCTCAGAATCTTACAGTTCATGATATCATCTTTTGATTTTATGCTTAGTTAGGTTTTTGCTCTCCTAAAATCAAATCAAATTTTACCTGGATCTTCTGTGAAAAACTTTAAGCTTAACTTTTAAATATTTAATACATTAAAATAAATATATAATTGTTTAATATAAAAATCATGTTTGCTGAAGGCAAATAGTTAAATCTGCTTTTTTCCTAATAAATGGTTGTCTTATTACCATTATATAGTGATCCATATTTTCCCCATTTATTCAAAAATCCAACCTTTGTCATATACTAAATATAATCTTAGTGTATTTTTCTTTTTCTATTCCATAGACCTCTATATTATTATGTTAGTGTCTTAATAATTTTAGTTCTTTATACATTTTAATATCTAATAAGTACTGAGATTCTCTAGTATCTTTTAAAATTTTTATTAGTCTCTTTATTTTTCCATATGAATTTTAAATTAATTTTGTCATATTCCTCTTCCCCTCAACTGTTATACTTTTGGTTGTAATTACAGTAAAGTTTTATTGATTTGGAAAAAAGTGATATGTCAAGAGTATTGAGTCCTCCCTTCCAGGAACATGGTCTTTCTATTTTCCAAGTCTTTTTCATCAGTAAATTTTTAAAGTTTAAAAATAGGTCTTGGGGCTTCCCTGGTGGCACAGTGGTTGAGAGTCCGCCTGCCGATGCAGGGGACACGGGTTCGTGCCCCGGTCCGGGAAAAATCCCACGTGCCGCGGAGCGGCTGGGCCTGTGAGCCATGGCCGCTGAGCCTGTGCGTCTGGAGCCTGTGCTCCGCAACGGGAGAGGCCACAACAGTGAGAGGCCCACGTACCGCAAAAAAAAAAAAAAAAAGGTCTTGAATAAGTCTTATTAAGGTTGCTCATAAATATTACTAACTTCCTGAAATTCCTAATTTTAGATGGTAATTATATGCAATCAGAAATAATTATTTTATTAGCTTCATTGATAAATGAGTTATGTTTTTTAATGGTATAGCACTGGAGTACAAATGAATTCTAATGATTTATAAAATCTATTTATATATTCCTTAATAGACTACACTAGCTGCTTTGAAGGACGAGATTGCCTCTGTTGAAAATGAGCTCTTAGAATTGCAAGAAGTAGAAAAACAACAGAAAACCCTTATTGAAGTTTATAAAACTCAGGTGATCATTGCATTTATTTTAATGTTTGTTAAATTTGGTAGATAATTTAAAACACTGCATTTGTTTATGATCTAAAAAAGCAGAACTGAAGAAAGGTGGAGTTATTATTTGTGATAAAATATGATATATCCCAAATATTTCTTAAGGTCCCAAATACTTTTATAAAATGATGATTCTGCTGATTCCTGATTTAAATATCCTGTGTTTATATTGGTTATTCCTAAAAGTAGATCTAAAATTAATTACATAGGTGTAATGTGAACCTATAATAATCCTGTTAGTTAATTTTGGTTATATCTGTCATCTTGTATTTTTAATGGTATTGATTTAGAATAATGACTCCCTTCAAGGGTCATTAAAGCACAATATTTCCTCTTTCCAAATAAATAAAGTATAATTCAGATTTACTCACATGAAAGACCTGGAAAAGAACAGATGACAATATGTATGGAATAGAGAGTGTGTTAATTGGTAATTTATAGAAAAGCTTAAGTATTAGAAAGTATAAGAAAAACTTCATTTGAAGGATGGGACTTATGTAGGTCCTTGAGTGATGGGTAACAAACTGTCAATAAAGAGCTTGATTTTCTTGGAAGAGAGTGTTTGAATTGAAGAATAATGAACTAAAGGTTAAAACTTAAGGAGGGGCATAATGTAGGTAAGTAGGAAGCGCTCCATCCCAATGGTTTAGATAGGAAATTGGAGTTGAGACATCCAGTTAGAATATTGCCGTCATCCCAGCTGGAGGTAAGAATGGAGGCTGTGATGGACTGTGCAGTGCGTTACTGGGAATGTCATCTGGGTCTTCCAGCTGGTTGTTCTGGTTTAATCCCCCATCAAGAATACTGTAGATGAGTTACCATATTCTTGACTCTGGGCCTTGTATACAGTGCTCAGATATTTTTTGAGCAGAGTTTGATTCGGAGTGTGAAATAATTGGTTTGGGAGCTAGTTTGGACCAGAGACTGATTCTTTAAAGTGACGTGGACCTGCAAATGAGGATCTCTCTCTAATATTCAGAGCTCAGGTGAAGATTCTAGAAGTATTGATGGGAAAAGACAGGTAAATCATAAGAGGATTGTGGATTAGAGTAGAGCACTGAGTGATTCCTGTATTTAAAGAAGGAATAACATTAGATAAACATACTGAGAGTATTAATAGGAAAATGATAATGGGTTTAAAATTGAAATTTTAAAATTTAAATTCAATTTTTTAGCTTTTTATTTCATACAGTGGTCCTACTAATAAAATAATGCATCTTACTCTAATAATATATTTTATTTTCAGATACACAAGTTGCAAGAAGCAGCTGAAATGGTGGAAAGCAGATGTGAAAGTTTGCTACAAGAGAATAACCTAATAACAAAAAACAAAAATAAAAAATTAAAGAAGGTAAGTTTGACATTTTAAACAATAAAATAATGTTTTATGTATGTTTTGTACTTTATGAATTTTATATAAATTCTTTAATTTGGTCATTTTCTTTAGTTTAGACCTAGAAATTATCTGTTCTCGATTTCTGTGGCAGTTTGTTTTCTAAGGACATGACGTTTCATCCAGGCTTGAAATGTTTGTTTGTGTGAATTTTTTTTTTTTACTTTTTCCAAAATATTTGGGAAATAACATAAATGTATAATTTTTCTGATACAAGAGCAGACTTAAGTAGCAGAAAAAATGGTTATTTGTCACTGAGCTTCATGCAGAGTTGAATACCTTTCATTTTTAATCTTACCTTTTTATTCTGGTAGTAAATCTTTTGTGTAAAAAAGCAAAGTAAATATTCTCTGCTAAATGCTTTTATGGAAGAAAAATAACATTAAAAAACCCAACATCATTTACTTTTTTTTTCACCCTATTGCCAAAGAATGAGGGGAAGTTCAGTGTTGGCAAGTTATGATGTTTTTGTGAATATTTTTAAGTTTTTAAATGAAACTGCATCCCTTTTTGGGTCTTTTCACGTTGTTTTGGTAAGGAAGCAGCAAAAGTTGTAGGACGCTGACTCCCCTGACTCCCGGCTGGGGACATCATGGGATGTTACTGGTCAGTTCCAACTGAGTGTAATAAGGTGACTGTCTCTGGGTCGTCCCCACATCTTGGAATTGAGAAGTCTGAGTGAGGCACCAATGTGAAGAAGAGGTCAGCCAGAGCAGACATTCTGCTGGTTAAAAGAGATAAAGGTAGCCTATCAAATGTGCAACTTACTACTTAGAATTATCAATACTTTTCACCTATTTTTAGCAGAGCAGAGAAGAAATCATTTCATACCTCTTGATCAGTTTTTCTCATGAGACATACCAATGCAAATGTCTCCTCTTTTGTAGGCAGCACTCTAAATAAATGTCTATTTAAAAAGCCTATTCAAAAGGCCAATGGGGCAGGAGCCTGTGGTTTTCAAATACTGTGAGGTCACAATGTTTTCTTACTGGTATTAAACCAGACAAGCCATTATTATTTTTTTTTTCTAATGAAATGCATCCTTTTTCTTTCCTACTGTTTTAAGTCTCCTGGTTTTCTCATGGGCTCTTAGATGTTTGGGGACCCAGAGGTAGGCTTTGTTCTACTTTTATCTTTTGTGATCAAGAATGCCAGATGTTGCACAACAGCTCTGTGTGTTTCCTGTCTCAGGGAAAGAGTCTAGCTCTTGTTTTCCCTCCCTATGAACATCCTAAGTGCCCTATGTCTTGTTATTTTTTCTTAACTAGCAGTACAAGCATTTTTTTAGGGCTGCTTCTTGTCACATCTCCACAAAAGTGCCACAGTGAAGAATTGCAGCAGCCAAAGAGATTAATATAGATACAGTTAGATTTGTTCTTAGCAACATATAACATTAATGATCAAAGTATAGTCTACTGAGTACTGATGATATTAGCTATTTTGAATTTATATACAGTAAACCCACTGATTTGGACTAAGCTGAGCACCGCAAGGCTGCTCTAATTGAAATATCTGAGTTACCAGATCGAATGACAGAGAGTCTAAAGTTACTTTAGCCTGATGGCTGGACAGCAGAAAACTACCATACCAGCTTTCTTAGTAATATCTATACTTGAATATAAATGACAGAATTCAAAAAAGTTTACTTTCCTAAGTAATTTAAACAGTCTCCCTGCAAGCTAATATTACCATAGTCGTTTATTCAGCAAGCTTTTTGGAAACTAATTGAAGTCCAGCCCACTTTTGAGTCATACATTCTTATTTAGCAGAGGCTAACTTAAAGTTTATTCTTATTTATTTGGTTAAATCTTTTTTAAAAAACTATTATACCTAAAACATTTACTATATTGCAAGCATATCTAGTATTTAAGATAGTAAAATCGTTAATGCTGAATGTGTGATCTTGCACTTATTGCCCTAATGCTACAACTCAGGTGAGAGGCCAGATGGAGTCTCATCTGAAGGAGTTAGAGCACGACCGCGATTCCTTGACAGCAGCAGAACAGAGGCTTCACGAGTGTCAGGAGAGCCTGCAGCACCACAAGGGGAAATGTGCAGACCAAGCACACGCCATTAGGGAGCTTCAGGGCCAGGTGTCCAGCCATCATTTTGATTTTTGCTAGATGTGTTAAATGCTTTGGAATAATTTCACCAGTTGAGGGTACTCATGTCAGGGGGTGATTATTTTACTCTCATCTAAATAAGTTGATAAAAGATCAGTTTCATGCAAATACTATATTATTTTCAAGGTATTTTTTAAAATATTGGTAATTAAATTTGCTGATTTAGTTTATTCATACAAATCTGTATTTAGACATTTGAGGACATAGTAATAGCATGAGTAAAGGAACAAAGCTATGTTTACATGTATATTTTTTGATGTTAGGATAAGGTAAATTATTGTAATTTACCTTACAAAAACTAGAATTTATTTCAATTAGAATTATGTACCAAGTTTATTTGTATTATTCTCAATTATTTTTTTCAACATATACTTTTTTTACTCCATCAGAAGAGAGATCGTGGGTGCCATACAGCCATCTCTTAACTCAATGCCTAGCACATAGTAAACAATAAATCTTTTTTTAATTAATTATTTTTCAAAGAAGCTTGTTCAAAGGTGGTGGCAAGTCTTTTTCTTTATTTGCAGAATAATTTTAGGAAGGATTCCCTATCTTTCAAATGTAATCTGGATTTAATATTGAAATGCATCCTCATTTTAAAAACAGGCAAACAAAACTTTGCTGAGTTTAAGTTCCTGAAAAGAGATCTTTCTAGGAAAATGTCAGATCACATAGATAACCTAAATTACTAATTGAAATTATGAGAAAAATTCTATTTTTATTTTTCAAAACATCTTAAACTATTTAAATATAGCTTTTGAAGCAATGGGAAGAATATTCTGTCTTGGCATGGGCAGGTGTGTCTTTGGTTGATTTGCTTATCTATTTTATTTTGCTTCTCACAAATATGGTTTTTACTCAGAGTTACAACTTCACAGATATTCAATTATCAATCACTATCTGTAAGTGAAACAGAAAACTGTAAGAGTAACCCTAAGTATCCAACAATAGGAGATTACTGTTTAAAGTCTTCACATTTACTTAATAAATGTTCTTTTTCAATAAAACATTACTCAGAATGTTTTAATTGCCATCTTTCAGTAAAATTTTTCATAGATTTTCCGTGAGGCAACGTAGTTTTTTTTAAATTAACCAGGAATTTAAGAACTTGTATTTTAACAATGTAATATTTCTTGGTGTCTGTCTGTATAGGAGTAATAATAATATTTATACCTTCTTCTTTTTTATAATTGTTCTAATGATAAACTATATAGATTTCTTTGGAAGTTGATTATAAAGAAAATAACCAAGAAAACTTTTTTCTCTTTTAGGTTGATGAAAATCATGATCTTCTGACAAAGCTTTCTCTGGAAGAGGAAAATTATCTTATTCAGTTGAAATGTGAAAACCTTAAACAGTAAGTATTAAATTGACTTAAAATTGGTGTTACCTTTTTTTCTACACAGTATAATTTTAAAATATATGTCTTCTGTAAAAAGAAAATTAGAACAGATGGATGCAGAAAATAAAGAGCTTGAAAAGAAGCTGGCAAACCAAGAAGGATGTCTTAAGCATACCAATCTTGAGTTTAAAGAGAAATCTGCAGAATATAGAGCATTGGCCAGACAGCTGGAAGCTGCTGTAGAAGAAGGAAGACAAAAGGTACAGATGGCCTTTATTCAGAAACTTTTTAATTAGTTTACCAAAGAGTCATCTTTTGAAACAGACAATATCTCATCTTGCCAAACCTACAGTTATTGTTTTTATCCTGATGACAGGGTGAAGGGAGCAATTACATTTTTGTTTTTTACCTGCTTTTCCCTTTTGGAGCTAAACAGATAGATTACTGGTCCAGAGTTACTTCACTAAATAAATGATGATGTGGCAGGGTAAAGGGCAGAGATGGAAAACACTTTAAAGACGTCCCCCCTCTTTTTTTTTTAAATGAAACCACAGCAAATATGCAAATTATTGAACCGTTTGGTTTTGATCAGGATTCAGTGAGCTATAAAGCTCAACTCCCTTTTCTTTTGGCAAATGTTGTTGTATAAATAAATACAGACAAGAATTAATTTCCGGTTAAATCCATCTGGATAGCATTTAATAAATATCTCACTGTCTGTCAAGCATTCTGCTAGTGCTTATGATGCAAAGATGAATAAGACCTGGCCTCAGCTCTCAGGACACTCACAGTCCAGTAGGGAGATAACATGTGAACAAACAAATGTCATCCTGCAAGTAGGTGCTACAATGCAGGGAAGATACAAGGTACACCGAGGGGGTGTGGTTAGTTCAATCTGGAGAGGAGGGGAAAATGATTCAGGAAGATCTCAAAGAAGAGGTCAATTTATCAAGTGATTTGAAAATGTAATCTTGAAAGACATGAGGTGGGCTTTGGAATCCACAAGAAGTAGATTTGAATTCTGGCTCTGACACATTATACCCTGACCCAGGGCAAGCTACTTTCTAAACTTTAGTTTTTTAATTGATAAAATGGGGATGATGAATTTCCTCATAGGATTGAATGACGCCAAAAGGAGATTGTCTATACCCTGATGACTCTCAGAAGTATATCTCCGCCCCAGACTTTTCTCTATCCTGACATCTAAATTCATATATTCTGCTACTTATTTGACATCTCCACTTAACATAGGCATCTCAAACTTAACATGTCCAGCACCAAATTTTGAATCTATCTCTCTAGACTCTCTTCCACCCATGGTCTTTCCCAAGCCTGTTAAAGGCAGTTCCACAAGGGTGAGATAACATCTGATATCCTTGAAATGTGGCTCTTAAATTGTAAGTGTCATATAGATATATTTTGATTTTTTTTTTTTTAACTCCAGGAAAGCAATTTAAATTGACTTTGAAAGACACATCATTGAATGAAAGCTAAGTAGTAAAATGTACTGCCAATGATAAATGTGTAATCCAGATTTCTCAGTCCCAACCTTTGGGAGGAAAATAAGAAGTGACTTTATCCTGGGTTCAGACTAAATGGACTTTGGAAATGCTAGGTGCTCTCAGATTCCTTCTCACAAGAGTTCAGTTCCCAGAGATGTGTCTGCCCTCTCCTTTCTTTCCTGCTACAATGGAATATGGGGTTGTCTTTAGTTCCTACCACATGAGGAGTGCCATCACTGCACTGTCACCGTTGTCTACACTGCTGGACATTGTAAAGGACACAGATACTTGTCCTGAGGGCCCTTTCTCCCACAGCTTCAACTCCTGCTATCCTCACAATCACCCTTGGAATTTGTGCACAAGAAATCTTTGTAAATAACTTAGAACTTAGTCCATGGGAGTGAGATTAGAGGACAGTCCTTTCTACTAGCTCCTTGCTCCTGAACTAGTCCCTGCGTCCACTGTCATTCTTATGGATCCAACCCAGCATTCCTGCAAATAGGCTCCAAAGTATCTGAATCCTTGGATGAATGTAGCTAAGCTAGACTTTCTGCTAAAATAAGCCATCGGAGAAATATGAAAACTCAAATTCAGAACATTTTGGAAGTGAATGAATGAAAAACCAATCTCGTGTGTGTGTGTTGTAAATATCACCTACCCTGCCCCCAGTTATGTCCATCCAAGTCTATAATCAGCGTTGGTTGTGGACTTTATATGTCCCACCACCACTCCAGACACCATGGTAAATATAAATACTGTAAAACATGGCAATTGGTCAACACGTTATAGAAATATAGTATTGAGGAAAACCTACCAACGTCACAGAGCAGTGCAAATACGTATACCTCTTCCACTTCAAGCTAATTTTTCAGGTACTTACACAGCAAAGAGGAGAATACATGCTTACACTATGCGTTTCTCAAGATAGAACATCTTTAAACACTTTCTAATTAAATTGTCTAATATCCAAATAATACCTGTTTGGAAAGAAGCGATACAGTATAACTATGTCAAGGCTTTAAATCATATTTTAAAGAAAGCACATTTAGTTTTTTCTTTTAATTGAAATTACAGGTTTCTGAAGAAATAGAGAAAATGTCATCTAGAGAAAGGGCTTTACAAATTAAAATATTAGATCTGGAAACTGAGCTTAGAAAGAAAAATGAAGAACAAAATCAACTTATTTGCAAAATGAACAGTGTAAGTATTAGTATGGCTTAATGTATTTTCATTAAAAATAAGTTAGCATTTAGCATTCTTACCTTGGAGTTTAGTTATAAACAATTAAAATACAAAGTGAGGGGAATCAAGGCTATTGCTTTACTGATAGTATTAAAAATAACAAATAATATAAATCATAAAAAATAACAATGGGGGCTTCCCTGGTGGCGCAGTGGTTGAGAGTCTGCCTGCCGATGCAGGGGACACGGGTTCGTGCCCCGGTCTGGGAAGATCCCACATGCCGCTGAGCGGTTGGGCCCGTCAGCCATGGCTGCTGAGCCTGCGCCTCCGGAGCCTGTGCTCCACAACGGGAGAGGCCACACCAGTGAGAGGCCCACATACCGCAAAAAAAAATAAAAAAAAGTCAGCATTTGGGCAAAGAATTATTATCCTGCATCCTTGGTAGCATCTATTACATTTCCCCCGAAGTCTCATCAGGCCCTTTCCCTGCATATTACTTTTACATGACAAATGCTTAATAAAAGTTACAGATATCATTGACTTATTTTCTTTCTAATATGAATTTTTCAGTTTTTAAGATAAACACTTATTATGAGTTAGTTTTGATATGTCCTAAATAATGCATATTATATTTTAGAAAGTTATAAGTTGGTGTTAAGTGAACATTTTACATCTGCATGTGAAGTGGATGCTTTGGTCCACTCAGCCATGAGATGAGAATACCAAATTGGCTGTGTTTAATTAGTCTTCTAATGTTTTTTCCTAACTATTCATGAAACAGTCAGATGACATAACAAACTGTGAAAGCTGGCACTAGTTGGGACTGAATTACTTGAAAACTATCTACTTAACAGTGACACAGGAAATAATACTTTATTTTTTCCAGGAGCCAAACTCCATGAAAACTATTTTTTCATTCCCAAGCATCTAAATCATTGAAAACCTGAAAGGTTCAAAAGTTAAATGAGTTTTGACGTGCAATATTTTAATTTTATTGCCATCAAAAGTTCCATGGCAATTTAATCAGAACAAAACATTTCTCATCTTTAATTTAGCACAGGCCTTCCCTTTATTTCAAAACTTTTTTTTTTAACTCACTGTCAGACTTTCTGTTGTAAAATATGTGTGACATTCTTTGTGTAATTGAAACTTCTGAAAAAATAAAATAAGTATTAAGATGAGGTGTGTTTGCTATAATATTCCCAGTACTTGGGAATATTAAAGCTGCTAAAATAGGTAGATTTAAGATCTGATGTTTTGCTAAACCTGATCATTTTTACAGTAGTAAAAAACTAGAATTCTAACCATAGATTTAGACATTGCTGAAAAATGGGTTTATGAGTTCTTTCCCTTCCAGGGGGCAGTTTAGTTGGCAATTCAGTATTTGTTTTGTATACAAGCCTTAGCTCCATCTGAACCGTAAGCACCCTGAGAGGCTGTCTCATAGTTAATTGTATGCTGGTGTCTTCTAGGGTGCCCTGCCCACAGTGGCAGGCCTCTACAGATTTTCTGCCCAGGTGCCCCGGGGGAGAGCGGAGTGCTTGCACAGACCCCCAAGGGTGACCCTCAGCAGCTTACCTCAGACCAAGAAGCCTGAAATGTCTTTGGAGTCTTATATATTATACTAAAACCCATGTATATTTTGCTTTCTACCTTACAGTATGTGTGTTTGTATTAATATTTTTCCCTCCCAAGTTGTTGAGTAAAATCAATGTTCCTCAAAGATTCACTATATCCATTCTGTGACTTTGTGTAGCTCAGCCTAGCAAGTTGTTTCATACCACCCACCACACTTCCCCTGGGGGCATCGCTCAGTTTCACAAGTTATTGGGTGTCATTGAACACCTGATAGGAAGGATATAAAAGATTTTTCTTCTCAAGGTGCCTACATTTTAGTTGGAAGCTAGGTGATATTTGCAGCCTGTCTATCTAAAGTATTTTCAGTGAACAGATCTCTTGGGAATTTATATGCAGCTGAATATTTTAAAAATACATTACATTTAAAATTTTTTCCTCAAAGAATACCTATGATATTGAGTTCATTTTATTTTTTAAAAGATTCTAAAAATAAAATATTCATATTATCAAAACTAGAATTCTATCAGTTTTTAAGATAGCAAAAGTCATTCTTTTAGGCAAAGAAAATGGCAAAAACTAGTATTAAAATATGTCATGTTAAATGTAATAGAAATTAATTGTGACAGTTTTAAGTAAAATTCATTTGAGTTAATCATGTTAAATATGTAATAATTTGGGGCTAAGTGAAGGTGTATTACAACAAACTCTGTCACAGTAGAGATCAACCATGTATGTGCTTTATTCTAGATTTTAAAGAAAAGTGAGCTCTAAGTTAATAACACATCAGATGTTAGGATTCTTTAAAAAAATTAAAAACCATGTATTCAATTATTGTGTATATAAATTTTGGATTATGACTATCCTTTGATATGAATGTCATTAATTATCTTTATTTCTTTTTTTGTTTAGAAAGCACAACATCAGGAAGTATGTTTGAAAGAAATACAGCATAGTCTTGAAAAGTCGGAGAATCAAAATGAGAGTATTAAGAATTATTTACAGTTTCTTAAAACTTCTTATGTAACAATGTTTGGATAAATTGTTGGATTTATTTTCTATAAGCAATAGGTTTTTACTATGAGTCTAAAAAGTAATTAGATAAAAATTAAATATACTATCTGTTGCTATATTTTATGATTTATGGGTGGTACTATTAGGGTTTTTATGTAAAGATTTTTGAAACATTTATTATCCAGTTGAAACTTTAAAACAAGATACATGTTAGTATTCCTTTTTTGCTGGATAATCTTCACTTAGCTCTGGATTAATATCTATTTAATTTATTTTGGTTTTTGGAATATTTTACACACAGAAAAGAAGCCAGAATCATTCTTTGTAGCAACCATTCAAGTGAATTTGTAATAAACCTAGGCCAATTATGAGCCAAATACATGATTTTAAATAATGTATATAATTGTTTTACATTATGGTGCTGTATATTTATATATTAATATAATAAAGGAAAATATTCTGGATACTATTTTTAATAATGATATAATTGCATACTTTCTAAAGATACCAAAGGTCTCAGTGTACTTAATATTGTTTCAAATATGCTGAGATGCCATTATAATTCCTGTGAGGTTTTAAATATAGAATTTTAAGTCATGGCTACTAAATGCCAACTGACGGTAACAGGTGAAAATATGTTGGCATGCATTGTTTCTTTATAAAGAATAGGCATTTAGGTTCTCCTATTAATTCATAGTCTCTTTTGTTCTTCATCTTATGTTAGTGATTGTCTGATATTATTAGTGTAGACATTCTGAAACCCCTGAGTTAAGTGAAAGATTAAAGGAGAATAACTTGTCCCACCCCTACCCATGGCCAACTCACATGGGATGATCAAAATAAACACTCTTAATCCCAGGAAGCTTTAGAATAAGGTGTTTGTTATTGGGATGATGTAGAAGAGCTACCAAGAACACGTTCTCTGTAACCTCCTAGCCTATGTGTCAAGGCAAGATACTCTAAAAGGGGATGGATGTAATTGACAAGGGATCAAGTAGTAGTGACTCCTCTCAGAGAAAGGCTTGAGAGCTGTTTATTCAAAGAACACTCAGGTCTCAAAAGATTGTTCAAAGAGGCAAGTTGTGTACTACACAGTCCAGCCTCTGAACAGAGCTTAGTCCCCGCAAGGTGTTTTATCCACTTCTGACCAGAAATGGGGGCCTGCTTATCTCTGGTCCCCTCACTCCTAAGACTGCCATGTCATCTGCAGGGGCTTACTTCCCTGTGACCCAAATAGCAAAATACAGTAATTTCAGAAACTGGCCACATTTCTTTCCCAGCAATTGCCAACAATATTAGAGTTGCCTTTTAATTTTAAATCATAGTACTTGTGGTACTAAAACACATGCTTGACCCTTGTGGTCCTTTCTTCATCTCCTAAGGCAAAGACAGCCTTAGGAAATACTCACGTGAAAGAAAACTAAGGTTCTTGAGTATATCCCACTAGACTGTGAACTCTTTAAGGGCAGAACTGTATCTTATTTATGATTCTGTTTCAGCCACCACATAATACCTGATATGGATACTCAGTTGATGTTTGTGAATAGGTAGATAGATGGGTGTTAAGAGAGGGAGGTATTCATATTCCTCCCTTAGATATGACAAAATGTAAGCATAAAGGGATTAACTTCTGTGGCTGTGATATAAGCAGCAGCATTACTGTTATTTATTGAGTACTAGTCTGTGCCAAAGTTCTGAGTGTAGTACATGTATTAATTCATTTAATCTTTATGTCTGATGAGAAAGGTGCTATTAATTAGGTTTACTCTTCAGGAAACCAAAACACAGAAAAGTTAAGTAACTTGCGCAAGGTCACACAGCTAGTAAGTAGCAGGCATCCAGAGTCTCTGCTCTTAACTATGACCGTACTACCTTCATGTATATTTCATAAATAAAGGTAATGGTTTCTTTTAACAATCATGCATTGCTTCATCGATGAACACTTTCTCTTTTTTATATTTTTAATTTTTATCAAAGTAATTTGTGCATATGGCGTTTAAAAATTGGTCCCCACAATATTTCAGCTGGACTGTGGAAGGAAAAGACTTACTGCAAAGTCCCTAAGGTTAGTACTCAGATGCTAGTGACACAGAATAACAAAGGAAGTTTGTGGGAGCCAGGAGAACTGTAACAATCTCTGTGCTTAATGTTTCCATGTGAAACATTAAGCACAGACATTCTGCTCTTCTGACGTTTGAACCAAACTCAGCGTCAGGTTCAGAGTCAGTCCCCTGGAGTCCCCAAGTAGTGTTTGCTTCCAACTTCCCATCATCCCAAAAAGCCCTTGTTCCCACAGTACTAACAGGCTGGCAGGATATTCTCTTTATCCTTGATACTCAGGGCCTCATGACTTTCTTAAGTTCTAAAAGTTTCCTTCCATTATTTGTGGGATTATTACCTCTCCACATGTTCCTTTCCTCTTCCTTGATTTGTCTCCTGGATCTGACCTCCACGCAGCTTACCTTTTCCCTCAGGGTATCTGTCACTGGGTTTCTTGTGAGGTATTTCTTCCACCTGATTTTTCTAACCACTTACATGGTTCTCAAGGGCAGTCATTCTCTTTTTCTGTTGGGTACTGAATTTCTAAATAAGTCAGGATTGATTTTTAGTTCCCGAAAGTGTTGGGGTTTTTCTCGTTTTTTTGTTTTTCAGCACTGTAATTCCATTCTTTGTTCATTAAAATTCTCTTGTTTCTTCCATTGGTTCTACCTCAGCAGCCATCTCCTGTTTCTATTGTGTTGGCCATCTTTCTTTCCGAGAGCGAGAGCCGTAAGTGAGTTTTAATTTTCCTTGCCTGTTCGTGGTTGTGTTTCCCTCAGTACCTGCTAGCAGCCAGCCTTGCACATTTCTGGGGCAGTATCAAACTAAGTGGTGAAAGGCATGATGGCTTCAATACTCATGGGCCTGAAACCTCTTACCCTCTGCTGCGGTGCTGTGAGCAGCCATTCTGCTCCCAGACTTTTTCAGTCACAAGTATCATTGTTTTTCCAACTACCAGTAATGGAAGCACTGTACTCCACTGAAGAGTCTCCTTCGAGGTTTTCTGGGGTCAGCAAGTTTGTTGCAGAAACAAGTGAAGTTCACGTTGGAGGGGAGCCCCGGGCAGTATCTGTACCTGGAACAATGTGCAGCACTTTAAAGAATGAATTCAGTCTATATCTACTGGCCTGAGATTTGTGCATGATTTTTATTTTTAGGGTAAAAAAATCACAGAATTTTTTATTAGGTATGATTCCCTTTTTATAATCAAAACAAGCATCTCTCCATTTGTGTGTATAAGTTCGCATATGTTGGCATGGGCATGGAGGAAGGCGTAGAAAAGCCTACATGCCTTGGTAGGGGTGGAGGAAATAGTAGTAACTTTTCACTTATTCTGATGAGATTATATTTCAGTTGTTTTTTCTAGTCAGATAGTAATTTAAAGGTTGAAGGACAGGCATGATAGGTATAGAGTGGAAGAAGAGTAGGCTTGGTGAGAGGTTATGGCCTGAGAATGGAATACTGGAATTTGATTTTCAGAGGTGCAGTAATTTGGGACAAGGAAAAAGTGGAGAGAATCCTGCTTGAGGAGGAGCTGGAGGTCACTGGAGTCCAGGATGTTGAGCTGAGAAGCCTTGGGTGTGAAGCTTTCTGGGATGCAGAAGGCATTGGGTAGAGCTGAAGGACAAGCATCCTGGTTAAATGTGAGTGGATGAGTAATGACTCCAGGGAGGAATGAAGCCTTGAAACTCTATCGGTGGTTTCTGATTGCATTTAGAATAAAATCCAGAGTCCTCAACATGACCCTCAAGGAACTGCATGTCCTGGCCCTCACATTCATGGCCTTAAGGCCTTGTCCCCCTCCTCAGTGTAATTATGTTTCATATTTGTCTCACTAGATTTTAACCCTTATGAGGATTTACTGTTCTGTAGCCTATAGCTAACACAGCGCCTGGCACATAACAGGCACTTAAGTACGTATTTGTTGGATGGACAGATAGATGATGGGTTAGTGATATTGCCACTAGATCTGATCTTCAAAGTAGGGAGAGGGGATTTGCCTCCTAAAGGGAAATTATATGGAGTCTGGGAGAATGAGTAGCTTTCATTCCTGAGGGCTGCAAGGGAAGCAGTTTCCTAGGTGAGGGGTCAGGTTTCTGTTCAGGCAGAGGTAGAGACTGAAGAGACTAGGGTGTAGAGACCTTGTCTATAATCAGATATGCTTTCCAGAGGCCACAGTGGAAAATGGGAGGGAGCTGGTATTGGGAGTCGGGAAGGTATTCAATAGAATGGGTTCACTTAATAGCTGTTTGCTTCAGATAATTTAACTGGAATTTCTCTCTTTTTTTCTTGTCTAAGAATTAATTAAAAAATCCCATATGTTGTCTTCTTTTCTTTTGATGCTACTGAATTGGGAATTGATTAAATCCCAAGTGTAACTTAGTAGTTTTGATTTATTTAACATTACAACTAGTTGCAGTACTTTCAGATAACACACACACACGCAGATGCACACACAAACATTTAAAAATAATATTTTCCTTGAAATTTAAGATTTCCTTAAAATGTTAAAGTTTAGTCTTATTTTTAAAAATAACTTTAGTATCTTCTTTTCTTCTTATGTAGGCATAGTTTGGGGTGGGCACTGGAGGGAAGAACTGTTAGGAGCCCTTTATATCTAGTTTGTTATTAGTAGATGAAAATATTGACAATTGATTATGGCTAAAACTATAAAAAGTAAACCTGTGATTAACTATCATACATTATTTGATTAGAAACATTTTAATTATATACTGTGAATGCTTTTGGCAAGCTTAAAGTTTATTTTTTGCAGCTGTTTTGTAAAATAGATGTCTTTCCCTATCACTTAAAAAAAAGAACTAACTAAAGAGGACATCTAAACCCAAGGTGGTAAGATATGTGTAAATGGTCCTTAAGTAAAAATAAATAATTTCATCTTAATAATTAAACTTCTTGAATAATAAAATAATAAAACTTCTTGAATGTTACCTGAATGTAATACTACCTAAAACTTTTTTATTTTTAAAAGATTTGTTTTCACTTCTACAGATAAGCACACTTAATTACCTTAAAACTTTATAAATTTTCATTTCTATGCTAGAAGTCTATCTTGGCTTTTACTATTTTGAACTTATCTTACTTGAAAAATTGTATTTTAACCTTTCTGATAGTATCCATGAAGTTGAAAACTATCAGAAGTTGAAGCATCTTAAGAAACAGGAATTGTAATTTCTAATGATCTGATTCATGCTAAAACTCCAAGCATAACACTTGAGGGTAAAACAGACACAAAGATTTCTATACTTTCTTTTTCCTGCCCAACATATAGAGAGCTGTTACAAATTAATAAAATATAAAGGTCCATCAGATAAAATGGCCAAAGGATAAAAACAGACAACTCATAAAATAAGAATTACTAATGACCAATAAACATTTTTACAAGATGTTCAGATTTGTTAGTAAAGAACTGTAAATGAAAACTAATCTTTTTTCCCTACAATAATTTAAAAGAGGTAATCCTAGTATTGACAAGATAGGGTAAAATGAGAATGATCACGCACTACCAATAAACTTACTGTCCCATTACCTCTGGATACATCATAATAATTATTGCTCCATTGTTGCATAGTTGTTTCCATGTTTCTGCAGTGAATATCGTCATCATGTACAATTCATTGCCTGCATCAAATTATGACTTTAAGATAAATGCCTAGATGTGAATTATTGTATCAAATGCCATGAGAAATTTCAAGGTTCTTGAAACACAGAATTGTTCATGCCATTTGCTACAATAATCTGCAATTTAGCCGTTTATCCTGAAGTAACAATTCAATGCTAGCAGAACTACTTCTGTTATGCCATTCCATTGCTTAGCTAGTGCCTGGCATCTAGTAAAAACAAATCTTCTCATTCGACATTAAAATGAATATAAATTTGGTCACATCATCTCTCGATTTAGTTATAACTGTCAAGTAGAAATCTGAACATGCTTTGAAAATTATATGGAATTCTATAATTGTAAATATTAATATTTGTTCATAATTTTAGAAGGCTATATTTTTATTTTTCACTAATATTTAGTTGTTAGCAGTTTAAGTAATACCCGGAGCTGGTGTTTATTCTCCCACATCTCTATTTATTGTATTATCCATTTGTATTAAAATTTTCTTTTGTTGTTAAAAGTCAGGTTAGGTTGTAGTTAGTATAAAATGAATTCCAGATATGAATTTCCATTGGACTTATATAAAATAGTTTCTACTTCTCTGTGAATTGCCTTTTCACTTTCTTAATTAGGACTTGCTGATCAGTATTTTTGTTTGGTCTTTTAATTCTACGTGAAGTTTATTAAGATGTGAACTAACCAGTCTTTTAAAATAAATATCAATAATATTTGTGGTCATGAGGGGTTTAGTCATATCTCTGGTTCTTTTTTCCCCCTCCTTCATTTACTTTGGAACTGCCTGAGTAACAGTTTTTTTTTTTATTAACATTGTGTTAGTTTAAGGTGTACAACTTTTTTTTTTAAATAAATTTACTTATTTACTTATTTATTTATTTATTTATGGCTGTGTTGGGTCTTTGTTGCTGTGCGTGGGCTTTCTCTAGTTGCGGCGAGCGGGGGCTACTCTTTGTTATGGTGTGCGGGCTTTTCATTGTGGCAGCTTCTCGTTGCGGAGCACGGGCTCTAGGCGCACAAGCTTCAGTAGTTGTGGCATGTGGGCTCAGTAGTTGTGGCTTGTGGGCTCTAGAGCGCAGGCTCAGTAGTTGTGGCGCACAGGCTTAGTTGTTCTGCAGCATATGGGATCTTCCTGGACCAAGGATCAAACCTGTGTCCCCTGCATTAGCGGGCGGATTCTTAACGACTGTGCCACCAGGGAAGTCCAGATTTTTTTTTTTTTAATTGAAGTGTAATTGACCTATAAATGATGTTACTTCCAGGTATACAACATAATGATTTGATATTTCTATACATTATAAAATGATCACCACAATAAGTCTAGTTACCATCTGTCACCATACAGAATTATTACAATATTACTGACTATATTCCCCATGTTGTACATTCCATCCCCATGACTCATTTATTTTGTAACTGGAAGTTTGTCCTTCTTAATCAGAGTTTAAAATTTTTTTTTCCACATCTTTTTGGGAGTATGAATGCTTTACAATATGTTAGTTTCTGCTGTGCAACAAAGTGAATCAGCTATATGTATACATATATCCCCATATCCCCTCCCCCTTGAGCCTCCCTCCCACCCTCCCTATCCCATCCCTCTAGGTTGTCACAAAGCACTGAGCTGATCTCCCTGTGCTATGCAGCAGCTTCCCAATAGCCATCCATTTTACATTTGGTAGTGTATATATGTCAGTGCTACTCTTGCACTTCATCCCAGGTTCCCCTTCCCCCCCGCCATGCCCTCAAGTCTGTTCTTTACGTGTGCGTCTTTATTCCTGCCCTGGCACTAGATTCATCAGTACCGCTTTTTAAAATTCCATATATATGCGTTAGCATACAGTATTTGTTTTTCTCTTTCTTACTTACTTCACTCTGTATGACAGATTCTAGGTTGTGTTAGTATTCTCCAGAAAAACAATATATATGGTATTGGCTCACGTGATTATGTATGGAGACTGAAAAGTCCCATGATCTGCTGTCTGCAGGCTGGAGTCCTGGGAATGCCAGTGGCATTCCTCAAAGGCCTGAGAGCCACTGGTATAGATTCCAGTCTGAGTCTAAAGGCCTGAAAGCCAAGAGTGCTGAGGGCAAA